ACCATATACTGAAATTCGATTGGTTGAATGTTTCTATGAAATGAAATGATTTTGCATTTAGTTGGGTTCAGCGACATTAAGTTCTTTGTTGACCACTCGAGGACAGAGTCAAGGGCTCTCTGCAGGTGGAGACAGTCTCGCACGGTGTTGATTTCCAGGATGGCCCCATCAAAGATCCCTGTGGCACTCCTGGAGAAGCAGGAATTGGAGTTGATACTGCGGAAGCGAATTTTACACAGAGACTCCTTCCAGACAAGTAGCTGCCAAACCAGCTCAAGAGATGACAAATGACAATTCTTTATTGCACATAACATCTGTTAAAGTTATTACAAATGTAATACACAGACAGGTACATTGTCAAGGTTTCTAATAAATAAGGAAATCTAAATAGGTATATAAAAAACCTAGGATTTAGCCAGTAAGTTACCCCTACAAAGCTACAGCATGGTGGAACTGTTAATGTTAGGAGAGGTTGATGAGAGATTGGGTGTCTGTTACCAGGAGTCGTTGAAAAATTCCTCAAGAGTGTAATATGCTTTTTCTACTAAAACTGTTTTGATTTTGTCTGTAAATTTTGCTAAGTTTAATTGCTTTAAGGAGTTTGGAATTTTATTGTAAATTTTTAACCCCATATAGAGAGGACTTGTTTCATATTTTTTTAAATTATGAGTGGGGTATTGAAAAATGTCTTGTCTTCGGGTATTATATGAGTGATTACTAAGATAATTTTGAAACATACCAGGATTTCCATGAACCATTTTTTAAATTTCAAAAACGTATATTGAAGTTAGAGTTAAAATTTTAAAATTTCGAAACAATTGTCTCCACATGATGTTTTTTTGGGGCAATTTGCAAGAGTTCTGATTATTGACTTTTGTTTTTTAAAAACTTTTTGGACATCTGTGGCTGTCCCCCATAAAGTAATACCATAGCTTAAAATAGAGTACACATAAGCATAATAAACATTTTTACATACTTCCAAGGAGGTAACCTGAATTAAAACACTTAAAGCATATCTTGTTGGACTGAGTTTTTTGTTTAGAAAATTAATATGTTCTGTCCATTGTAGTTTACTATCCAAATATATCCCTAAAAACTTTACTACATTTGTGGGCGAGGCAGTAGTTTCTGTTCCAGTGGTTGAATTTCTCAATTTGAAAATTAAAACACTAGTTTTATCTTCATTCAAAAGTAAGCCATTTTTTAAAAACCAATTTGCTATTTCTCCAATTGTTTCTTTGACATCATCATGTAACATTTTAACAGTACTTCGTTTGATGAGAGCTGTTGTATCATCTGCATAAAGGGTAAAGTTACAGATTTGACTTGAAAAATGAAAAGGTAAATCATTAATATATGTGAGGAATAAGAGAGGACCTAGGATTGAACCTTGCGGAACTCCATAGTTATTATTTGCCCAAGAAGAGTATTTGTTCCCAGAGGCGGTTTTAATTACTGTTCTTTGTTTTCTATCGCTTAAGTAAGACTTCAAAAGTTCAATTATTTGTCCATGAAAACCAATTGCTGTAAGTTTTTTTATAAGAATTTTGTGATTAACACAATCAAAAGCCTTGGATAAGTCGCAGAACACACCAGCTGTGCACCGCGACTCATCCAAGGCTTTCAAAGCGCAATTTACAAAGTTGTTTAAAGCTGATTGGGTATTTAGATTTTTACGGAAACCAAATTGTTCCTTGCAAAACTTGTAGTTATTTTCCAAAAAGCTAGATAATCTAGTGTGAAGAATTTTTTCATAAACCTTTGAAACATTACTTAATAAAGAGATCGGTCTGTAGTTCTGTACTTCATTTAAACAACCTTTTTTGTGAATGGGTACTATTTCTGAGAGTTTTAGTAGTTGGGGAAAAACACCTTCTGCAAAAGATTGATTAATTAGTGTAGCCAAGATGTTTGATATTTCATTTGCTGACCATTTCAATAATTTAATGGGTATACCGTCCCAGCCACAGGCATTACTGTTCTTTAAACTTAGAATAGTTTTTTTTACTTCAATTTCATTTGTTTGACGAAGATTACCTAATTTTGTCACCTGAACTGTAGGATTGTTAGCATACGGATTGATATTAGCACTGTGTGGCATGTTTGGCAGCTTAAGTATATTGACAATGTTGGAGTACTGATAATTAAACAGTTCCGCCATGACTACAGCATCATCAATAATTTCATTGTTGACCTTAAGTTTAATGTGAGGCTTAACAATTTCACTTTTAACACCTACACCTAATTCTTCCTTTACAACATTCCACATGGCTTTGGACTTATTTTTTGCTTGCATTATATACCTATCATTTGCAGATTTCTTAGCTTTTTTAACAATCTTTTGAAATATCTTTTTGTAATTTTTTACATAGCTTAGAAAATTAGGATCATTACTAAATTTTGCTTCATAATGTAATTTTCTTTTGTTTATTGATGACACTGTTATCCCTAAAGTAACCCAAGTTTTTGATTTACTTTTATTTTTTGCTTTAAAAGGTTTAACTGGAAAGATTTCATCCATACTTAATTTAATCTTAGCCAAAAAATTTTTGTAATTGTTATCCACTGAACCATCTAAAGATAAAGACATCAAATTACATCTCAAGCTATTAATAAATGGGGCGATGGATCCTTCAGGAAAACGTCTTCGATAGGATTTTACAGAGTTTGTTGATTTTAATTTAAATTTACTACTAATAGGTAACTGAAGGAATAGAGCATTGTGGTCAGACATAGATAAATCGAGATTCTCAAAAGGAGCTTTACCATAATTTATAGAAGTTAGAAAGTTATCAATGCAGGTTTTTGTTGTTTTTGTTATTCTTGTTGGCTCTTTGATGTTTATCAAGAAACCATGACTACTAATTATATTTTTAAATTCTTCTACTAAATTACTAAGTTATTCTTTTCTAAAAGGTTAATATTAAAATCAGCTGCTATAACAATTTGTTTATTTTTTGCCTCAATTTTCAAAACAGTTAGGAAGCTTTGAAATTTTTTAAGAAACAAATTACTAATGCAATTTCCTGGTATTCTATAGACTGATACAATTAACAAATTAAGATCTTCAATTTCTACAAATGACCCTTCAAAGATAAACTCCTCATTGAAAGTTTTACTTAGATCTTGTCGTGAAATGGTAGAAAGGGAATCATGGACTAGTATACAAGATCCACCTCTAGAGTAATTCCTGAAAAATCCATCCCTCAAACTGAAATTGTGTATTCTATTTAACAACAGTTTATTTGATTCTTTTATATTACCTATGTTCATTAAAGCAAATTATTTTAACATTTTTTGTGCTTTCTAATAAAATATTTATCTCTTCAAATTTTTGCTTAATTCCTTGAATGTTGTAGTGCATTATACAATTACTTAGATTTTTTGACAACACAATTTCATTCAAGTCCCCATTAATGTTAAGTGAACAGACAGATTTCCCAGGATTCCATAGCTCTTCAATTTAGTGAGAAGCGTTGAGTGGTTTAGTTTGTCGAATGCTTTAGCATAGTCCAGATATATGACGTCGACCTGATTGCCCCTCTCAAAAGCATGCAATATTCTGGTTTGAAGAGTCAGCAGATTGGTCATAGTTGAATGGCCTGCCCTGAAGCCATGTTGTTCGGAGGCGAAAATGTGTTTAGTTGCAGGAACAAGTTGAAGGAGAACAAGCTTTTCGAATAGGTACCTTAGAGAGGTATGACAATATTACCACTGGACGTAGGTTAGTCGCTACACTAGGATCATTTGACTTTGGAATTGGAACTATGAAGCCGCGCTTAAATATTTCCGGGAAGATACCAACTTGCAGGGATTTGTTGAAAAGTAGGCCTACAGTTAATATTGGTGCTAAGATATCAGCACAATGCTTCAGTACTTGTTTGTAATTGTTTGTAAGTGCAATTTGCACTCGAATTACACATTATATTTTTCCTACAGTTATTACAGAGTACAGTAAAGAAATAAATAGTTTACCAAACACTAACTTAAACAACACGTATTAGGTTAGATTAAATCCGTTGAACAAAATGGGAAACTGCAACAGCTTATTGTAGTCCTATAAGTATCTTAACTTAAGTGTTGCCAACTTATTTTGAAGCGTAGGCCTACACGGATTACGTGCCTAATAAAAGCACGCTGTTTTGTGGTGTTTGGTTGGAATACTCGAGTCCGGCAAAAGTAAAGTAAATGCAGTAATTAGCAACTTTCTCCAGACTTTCTTTTTTTTAAGGAAGTCCACTTTGTCAGACGTGACTGTAAGTTAAAACTTAGGATAAAGTTTATTTAACGGCCAAAATTAATTCCTAAAGTACCGTACCGTACCATTAACTTGTTAATTTGAGGTGCTTACTGCTTAGTAAGTTATAAAATGTTCCTCTTAAAAAACATGTGCCTCTCTAAACTACCTACATTGAACTTACTTAAATTTTGAGTTTTTAAAAGTTATTGCCCAGGTAAGTACATGATAACAGCGTTAAATACTTAGTGTTAATGATTCTCATCAAACTAAAATACACTCGTTTATTGTTTATAAAATGAGAAGCAAGTTATAAGATTGGACCTAAGAAGATAAAAGACGAGATAATTATTGAAGATCACACATTGACAGCCTCTGGAAGGTGGGTTGGCACTTGGCAGTACCATTGCCCCAGGCTACGCATTCCGATGGGCAATAGAAATACATTCCTCAGGATCCAAGCCTACAGATACGGATTCCTGATATCAAGCAACATTCCTTTACCTAAGCGAAACAGGAATGTTTATATAGTTGTGAAAAAATTAACTTTGATCACAATTTACAACACGAAAATACATTGGGAATCTTAATAAAATGCAAAATACCAAACTGCTCTCATCCTTGTTTATATGCGTCAATACGAAACAATTTTGAACTATACCTACAAATGGTATTGATGAACGCTTGTGTTAAGAAAAGACGATAACACTGAATAATTAGAGCTGAATTTAAAAAAAACAAACTAAACTTAGTATCATCTCACCTTAGATTCTACCATCCAATCCAGGCCATTTTTGAGCATCGTCGAAATTCCGCAACACACACGATAGCACAAACTAAACATTAAATACATGTTTGGAACTTATTTAAACAGCATAATAACACTAAAAACATAAAAAGAACACATGAACTCACTCCGGCACAACAGCAAACACGATTAAGATAAAACTTTTGCTTTGACTTTTTCACTCGGAAGTTTACAAGTTCGGGGCAAAGTTTTTGACTGCTCGTATGTTTTGAGAAATAGTTCGAGTCGTAGCCGCTGGGAGCGCCAGACACTGGACACCTGTTGGATGTGTTGGCGCTCTTTTCATCATTAAACCAGTTTTCCTAATTGTTGGTTTCTCATCAGTCACAGAGGAACCAGGAACAACTCTTTGTTTTATTTTTAAGTAAATCGTGTAGGCCTACGTTTTTCAGCGATTTACTGGATACATGCACTCAAACTTAATGATTTTTTTTTGTCATTCCAGTACCTACAATAATAATTTATTTGTACTGGAATCACAAAAAATCATTGAGTGCTAGCATAGATAAAAGGAGTATAGACATGTCTACTTCTAATCTATGGTGCTAGTACTTTGTTGATTGCACATTGGTCATTGACTACTAATTTAGTAGCTAATTTAGTACGGTAGTCAATGTGCTATCAACCATCAACAACAACAACAACAAAAAAACATAAATGATATAACAGGGTAGGTATAGTTATCATGTTATTTTTAGCGAATTTCCCATATAGGGAATAAGCTACTACCGTAGGTCTCATGGTAAGACCTAGACCCGGGACCGATTTACTTTTTCGTTTTGAGGTCCCTAGAGACCAAAAACACCATCCTTCAAATTCATATATATTTATATATGTGTCCGTTAGCGCGATAACTCGAGCAAAAATGATCCGATTTTGATGAAATTTGGTACAAACGTGTAAACCTACGTTTATTCGAACGAGTTCGCGAACCAGCATAATCTGACCATGGGAACAGGGGTTTATGGGGGGTTTTATGGGGTAAAAATGGGTTTTTCCCCTTTTTAACCCTAAAAACAAAAAATTTTGCAATTTCTTTCTCAATGATTTTGTAGAGCTTAAAAAAAGAAATAATTTAGTATATTGAAGCGCAGTTGTATGCCTAACGGTCACGGAGAAAATTTAAAAAAAGTGTAATTTAAAATTTCCATGTTATTCTTATGGAGAAAATGAAAACTGTTGTAGTTTACTTGTTTATGGATGTATGTTGATTAAGTTTGGCAAATTTATTTATTTCATACTATACTATTGACTTATGGTCAAAAAACACTTTTTACCTTCCCCGTAGCAGCAAACCTAAGCACTCGTTAAATCTAATGTTATTTAAATTGGGAATAAATATGTCTTATTTATGGAAATATTTTAGTAAAAATGTAATCAGACAAGTTGAAATTCGCTTAGTCTGCAGGTTTGCTGCGGCGGGGGTATTTTAGATTATTATATACTTCTTTTAAACCCAATTATTTTTCTACATGGTTTGGTTTTGGTATGAAACGAATTTATGAAATCCTATTTATTTATTGAAATACCAATACCCTACCCCAAAATCTATGCAGAATAAGTGAATTTCCATTTACCTGATTGGATTTACACTAAAAAATATCTCCTTAAAAATATAATATTTAGGTTTACTGCAATTTAGGCACATACTTCAATATACAACATAATTTGTTTTTTTTTTAGCTCTACAAAGCAGTTTGGAAATAAATTACAAAATTTTATGTTTATAGGATTAAAATGGGAGAACTGAATAGGTAGGCCTACCCCATTAACCCTCACATTCCCATAGTCTGATCATGCTGGTTTGCAAAATTGTTCAAATAAATGTAGGTTTACACGTTTATGCCAAATTTGATCAAAATCAATCATATTTGCTCTATTTATCGTGCTAACGGACACATATATATAGAAATTAATTTTAACGGATAATGTTTTTTTCCTCTGGGGACATCAAAACGAAAAAGTAAATCGGTAATGCGTCCAAGTCTTACCATGAGACCTCTACGGCCATAACTTAAATTCCCTATATGGGAAATTCGCTAACACTAAGTTTAGGATCTCAGGTTCCATATAATGATGAATAATTCTTACCTTATTTTGTTCATGTACAGGTCGAGGCAATGAGAACGCCGGCCCAAGTATTTCTTTTCGCTATCAAATAAAAAATATTGCAGCTATGACAGGCACTGTGTTTAAAACATCTTGTAAACTTGCCATTAAAAAAAATTGCTGTTTGGGAGTCATAAACTCAGTGCTTTTAATGTAAAAACTTTGCTTTATTATTTCATCTCAAAGGTTGTTTTAGAACACTGTTCAACAAGGTCATGTTCCAAATCACAAAACAATAGGTAACTGGGCAAAACCATTTTAGAAATACAGCTTGAAACTACACACTGCATAAGGTTTTTCAGGACAGTTATGACCTTGAGATTTTGAGTCATACTCTCTGGCCAGCTAAATCTGCAAATTTACTTGGTGTTTAGGATTTTGCCGCATGGTGCTGTTTTAAGTTGAAGGTTTTTAAAGTCGCTCCTGTCCTGAGGGATTTTCTTGAATAGAAGCAAAAAATTAAAGCCATTAAAGAATTTCTGCAAACCTACGATGAACTTATCAAGCGACTTGAGAAATTTCAAGTAATTATATAGTTCTATGAAGTCACTTGAAGGCCGTTGTTTTCAAGAAATGAAAATGACCGAAGACGGAATCAAGTTCAAACAACATAAAAGCTTTTTCCTACAGTTACCTAACAATGTACATGTTCTCTCACTGATTTGGGAAAGCAAAGTGGCCAATTCGCTCATCAGTGAGACAATGTTAACATTGTCTCACTCCAGATTTGCAGCGTGAAGGCACGAAATAGTGAGCGCGTAACATGCAGGCAACGTCGTATGCGCGCAAAATACGTTGGCAGCACTGGCTGTAAATCAGCTGGTCAGCTGTTGTACTGTTGTATTTGTCACTTCACATTAAATGTTATATTAAAAGTTCACTTCTGTGTAAAATAGGTTATGTTTCTTCACAAATTTATTTGTTTTATGGTAACTGTAGGAAAAATATAATGTGCAACTCGAGTTCAAAGTACAATTGCCTCACTCGAGAAACCATTCCTCACTCGCCTACGGCTCGTGAGTAAGCATTTCTCTCGAGTGAGTCAATTGCTCACTTTTCTCACTAGTTGCACAAATAACTATTGTTTTGATGTAATATGTACTGGGCGAATAGTGTTCAATTTGTAGGCCTACTGTTAATAAATTGGGGCGTTCTCGTTGCCTCACCCTGTTTAAGTCACATATTTAACCATGACAAATCTTATCAAACTTTTCTATTTGCACTTTTGTTTTTGAACTTGAGTAAAAATATTATAATATTCTTTCTGTTAGAATTCATCCATTTCATCACCTTGGCTGTCGACCGTCCACCGTTTATTTTGGAAGCTTCCATTGGACAGGGAACTCCTTCACAGCTGCTGATGACCTGCCTGGAAAAAGATCCGAGCCCTTCAAACTATGGAGCTATTTCCAAATGGAGAGACAACACTGGGCTTTCAACATTGAACCTTTCATCAGAGCTTAAATCTACAACACTAACACTGGTAAATCCAACAACCTAGCCTAGTAATTCTAAGCTTGTCTCCTACAGGTCGCAGCACATGTCATGTCAGATTCGGTTTGTAGCCTCTCAAGCTTACATAAATACTCAAAAGTGAAGGTTTTCTTATGTTTCTCATAATTGCCAATCTCATTGGTAAGGAGTGAATATTACTGTGCAGAAACACTTGTCATTGTCTCAGAAAAACACAACTCGCCTATTAAAATATAGGATTTTTTGGAAACGCAGAGTGGGAATGCAATTATTTGAGGCTCAAAAGGCTTTTGAGCCTCAAGAATAATGAGATTTTTTAAAGAAGTTGGCGGCGTCTTTTATCTCACATTTGGACCACATAGGCCTGTGCGTGGAACGTATCGAGCGAAGGAAGGGGTGAGCCAGTACAGTACATGCGTGCACTGTACTGATAAAAAGTAGTGAGAGGTACAAGGATCCAAAGTCCAAACCCACGACATCGCTACCTTGGGCCCAAAGTCGCTACCGACTAACGTAGTTAATTGCTTTGACGAATCTCCTTATTAGCATATATTACACAAGGGAATAAAAATAACTCAATAACTTAACTATTAACACATTTAATTATATTTTCACATTATTTACACAAAAATGTCCTAATTCAAAAGAGACAATTTCGCGACGTTATGTTACTAGGAATAAAATCATCTTTGGTTTGTGATTCAAACATCCATAAATTGGAAATGTGTTAAAAAACTAAGTTTTAGTAGTGTTTGTCACAATATTGTCTTTTAAAAGTACATTCAGGAGACATCAAACTATGTTATACAATCCATTGGTGATGACATATTTATTAATTATAACTTATACTTACAGAAACAGGACTTTGACAAAGGAAATTATAAATTGCTTTTTGTCTTGTTCACAGTTACTAAAGAATAGGAACTCCTTTATCAGGCAAGTCAATGGTTAGGGGTAAAAACAATATCTTTTCAAAGGATGAAATGGAAATAGATTTCAAGGGTGATATTATGGAAAATTGCCAAGAAAGAAATAGTTTGAGTATGCTAGAAACATGGTATTTAGCTTTTTTTACAAATGAATAATCACAGATTGAGATCTTTTAACTAAATATCAGTAAAAAATTATTTTATTTTTTAGTTTTTTTTTTAAATTATTTAAAAGCATATAAGTAGACATTGTGTAGTCATAGTGGGTGAAATATACAACTTTTTAAAATCTGTATATTTGATATAGAACTTAACAAAACCTAACATATAAATCAAATTAAAATTGCACCTCAATTTAGTTGTGTTTTTATTTTGGAGTAATCGCATGACAATACTGGAAATTAGGACTTTTTATAAGATACTTGCAGATATGATCTTATACTGTTCTCACCTAATTTTTTACTGAATGTTGATCAATGTGTGTGGATGACAAATAACATGGGATTTAGGACAATTTATAAAGGTATTATGTATGATACATTGTATTATTCGTCAGTGAATTAATTAAAAATACAAAGTGAAATTTTTTTTTGGGAGGGGAGATTTTGGTTAAAGGTATGATGATCTGGAATCACTTGTATATAAACCTTTTTTGTTCTTCAAACCACCTCTAAGAGGTAGAAACAATTTAAATAAATCGTTTAACATGTGGGGCAGTTAACAAAGCAATCTTTTATTGGAACCGAGATCAATTTGGTAGTGACTGTGGTCGAATAATACATGTTTGTACTAGTATTCCCTATGTAACTCTACAATAAATATGCAATATTAATTAATCACAAACTTTAAAAAAATACTCAAAATAATAAGATTGACTAAAAATAAACACGGGTAAATAGGGTAAGAAACAAGGAAATCATATCAGTACAGGCAACTGATTCTTGATGATTTAAACAAATAAATAGGTTTAAATCAAGAATTTATCCATACCTCTTTTTGTTACTCGGTGTTAAAGAAAACTATGTAGGCAGTATCATTTTTCAACCAAGACAGTTTTGTAAAACTATTACACTGCAGAAAACAAGTTTTAGGTTTCTAATTATATATAGTCTTCAGTGTCAATAAAACGTACCAATAGTCTGCTGTTTACAAACCATTTAAAAATGTAAATACACATTGCTAGAGAAGTAATAAATCAATTAGGCCTAATTTAGGTTTATAAACTTAAACTTAAACTATATACTAAAAGTCCAGGGGAAAAACTGGGTTATATAAAACTTATTAGTTTAGAGATTTACCAAATAAAAACAGAAAATTAATAAACTAAAACTACCCAGAGGAACTCAATGAGTCATACACAATCCCCTGAACAATGGTAACTACTCATGTAGAAAAATAACTGCTTAAATCCAACTGCATGATTAAACTTGTACAACAAACTTTACAAAATAAGTAAAAAGAAGATGAGTATTTATAACTATCACAAACATATTCTACCATGGCACAATTACTATACCTAAATAAAAAAAAAAACAGAGACCATAACAAAAAAGTACAAACTAATAAATAGTAGAAATACTAGAGCTGCCAAAATAAATATTAGAACGTAGAATGAGCGTACATTAGTGTGTAAAGAAAAAATACTGACAACAGTACATTATTTTCGTGATGTTTCAACTGAGTTCACTTTAAAATAAGAAATGAAATTTCATATTGATGGGATGTCTACAATGGTATTTACGGGGTGTAATAGTATATGATCATCATTAGTATTAGTATTCTCATTAATTAGTCAAAACATACTTATAGCATACAAAAGAGGTAGATGTAATGTAAGACCTACCTTAGAGAGGAATTTATTTTAATGAATACAATACAATAAAAACAAGATCAAGGTTCGGACATGTTTATAGACGCTCTTTGAAATGAAATGAAAAATGTCTTTATTTAAGTGGCGAAGTTAGGACTTGCAAGTCCTCTCTACCACTTAACCTCTGCTCTTTTATAGAGGAACCACAGAAGAAATTGCCTTTGCATTGATACTCACAAATTAAGAGAAACAATTAAAGACATGCAAGGAAATTTACCAGCTTCCATACTAAAGCCTTCGCTAACCAACTACAGACCCAAAGAATGGACAGACATTCCAAAAATACTTTAAAAATTATATATTTGTCAATATTTACAAGACATATTACAAAGCTAAACTAACATATAACCACTTTGGTTTGTCATAGAGAACGGGTCTTACTAATATATCACATGGAAAGTAAAGCTATCATTAAGACTAAAATATTAAAAAATTCAGTCAAAACGAGAACATATTATCGGAATAGTTAAAAATAATTGACCATTAAAATAATACCTAGGGATGGTAGACACAGACAATTTTGTTGCCATTCAATATTTTAGGGATATTTTAAAGAAAGGAATATTGTGATATCATTAAAATCACAGAGGATTAAATTTGTTTTTTTTCTGGCCAAATAAAGCTAAATACAAAATCAGTTTAACAGTGGTTTAGATCTTTTTCCAATCTTTTGAATTTCTTGGAGAGTAAAGCATAAAGCTAAATCTTATATTCATAAAAAAATATATATATTTGACTGGCTATTGACTACTTGATTTGCTTTAGATCATCTAACATTTACAATTATTTCAAAAAAACTTCCAAGCTAGTTAACATTACTTGCTCGTTTTAAAATAGTTAGCTCGATAATAAATTCATAGACAAATGTTTTACAAGTAAAAAATAACAACATTCCCAAAACGTTCCTGCATTTTAGGAATAAACATGAGAACTCCTTTCCAATCATATCCAGTTCTACTCATCCCTAAATTTAAATGGGTCTAGAAAGACAACTAAAAGTAAAGTTTCTGACTTTCCCAAAAGTACAACTAATTTAATATTTATAGAACATCAAACCATGCACTTTTACAGCTAATAGCATAAGCAAATAAAGAGAACATTATACTTAACTGATATAAAATGTATCAACATCCTTATATATTTTACATTTAACAATCTTAAAAATACTACTTTATTTTTGTTGTATTATTTGACATTTGAGTTGAAACCAACTTCACCAACTGTAAATCTTAAAACAGGAGAACACATTTGACAGATCTAAAAAAAGAGATTTATCATTTGATATATCCCTATTAATATCATCTAATATATCTCAATATGATATAGACATAAAGTATTTACTTACGTAGGCATATTTAAAAAATAATGTAAAGGAAAATGTATTGGTGAAAGGAACTGGCAGCTTCAATTTAGTTCCAATAAACTCTTTTTGAGCTTGGTTTGAGAATTTTAAATCCAACTTCAACTTCAAACAATTTTGGAATTTTACCAAACATTTTTACCCAAAATCTCAACCATCTTACAACAATAATAAAATGTTACACGTAGGTATTATGAAAAGACACGTCATAATGTGAAAGAGAGATCCAAAAGAAAGACTATCAACTCCTTAATGAGATATTAGTATAAATCTGAGTTAGAAAATCTCACTAAACACTATGTAAATCGATTAAGAACGGAAACAATTTTTGTTAGAGTCTTCATCATACTTCAAGCCATGTTCCCAATTAGTAGGCCTGTGTTTAAAACTTTTTAAATGCAAAATTTTTGTGAAATATACAGCACCAAAAATAATGATAGTACAAAACATTAGAAAAGGGGTGTTAAAGCCAAAGTGCCTACAATCCATTTAGTACCAAAATTACCCTTAAAAAAGTAAATGGCTGGAATTTGAGATCCAGAATATATCTTTCTTATTGATAAGATAATATTTTTAGAGAGCTGCCACTACTTATTGAATTCAGATTTAACTTGCAATAGAGAATTTAACCCCAATAGCCTTTTCTAAGCCAAGATCTTTTTATTAAAAACCCAATAATCATAGACAGCTGAGTCTTCAAACAAAAACATGTTTCTGACTTCAATCAGGATTGAACGGGCAATCCTTTGAGTATCAGGCGAGCACTCTAACTACTCAGCCACTTACCCATGGATATATTCTGGTGATGAAGACTCTAATGTAGGTTTCTATTTTCTGAAGGGAGAGGGAATATGTACAGGGTGCGTAGTTTAGCTGATTCCCTGCGTCAAGGAGTTCTCCAAGACAATGTCAAACTGATTGAGGCTCTCCAGTATCTGGCCTATGTAGAGCAGTAGACTCGGGTCTCGTAGGAACGACTGGTCCTCGTACATGTCCAGCGCACAGCGCGACGCAGCCATCACGCTGAGCAACACGTCCGCCAACATCCCATCTCTAACACAGAAGATGATACAAATGAAATACAGTGGCCCTTAATTGCCACATAATTTTATCAATTAAAGTGTATAATTCAGTAAAAAATAATATAAATTTTCATTCAATTAACAAGTTTAAGGCTATGTTTTATAATTATCTACTTCAGAACCCTTTTTATAGTCTGGATGATTATTTTAAACTGGGAGAAATTGTCCTTTAGTTTGGTTTTAACTTCAGTTAAGAATGTGAATGGAGTTGAATGTTAATTGTAATATTTGGCCTGTTAGAGTATTTTGTTGTTTAGTTAAGACTTGGTTTGAAAACTGCAAATAGACTTTGTCAATGATATGTAAATGTATCCTTATGGCAAATAAAGATTGATTGATTGAGTAGAACTCCGGTTATCCGAATCAATTGGGACCAGACCCCATTCGGATAATCAAAAATTCGGATAGTCGGAGTTTTACAGGAATTCCGGGAATTTCCAAGAAAAATCCTCATTTTCGGTACTAAATGAACTTTTAAATAATAATAATTGAAATAATAACATTTTTTCAGTTTACAATGCTCATAGCTCAAGTGTTCTAACAAATCTTAAAATGTTTTAACGCAATTTGTTATTCTTAAAAAATGTTTCTAATGATATTGGTGATTTTATATAATGACACTATTGCTGGTCACCATTTCAGTGATATATTAGCGTAAAAGATGTTGTAATCATGTTGGTCTTGAAAAACACAAAATATAATTTGTTTACAATTTGTGTTAGGAATAATGTTTATGTTATGTGCAATTAAATTCGACAAGTTGTTAACATCAATTGATTTTTCATCCTAATTATAAAATTGCATGTAAAACAAAAAGTGGCTAAAATAAAGAAGAAACCGTTATTATCACTACCTAATACAAGACTATGGGTGTAAAATAGAGCATTAGGACGCAAGTTTTAAAGACTTTTGTGTGGACTGCAAATTCCCAAAATTAGATAGACTCCACTCTGGCACAAGTAACAAAACTTTACATGATGCACAGGAATTAGAAACATCTCACTGCCAATGACAGAATTTTTACCAAAGAAATTTGGAGTTGGGGGGGGGGGGGATTTACATTCAGATTTTAACGTGAGACCATTTCTCAACCCTAGTTCTTGTGAATCGTGAACAGATTTGTGTTTCTAGTTCCAGAGTTCACTCTATCCAATTTAGGTAAGCCTGTTATCCTCATTAAATCCTAATGCAAAAATAAGTAACTTGAATTTGGGACCAGTGACATCTCACTGGCAGCAGTTTTTACGATCAAGAGAAACAGCTTTTTTTGTCCACTGCCTTGAATTTTTACCACCTTCAATCTATCAATCTTACGATCATCAACTTTTTTCATTGGAGTTATTCTTTTAGCTTTAACCGATTCAAAATCCACTAGGGGTCTGCGGTACAGAAAATTTAAGGTCGGTACGGTTCGGTACGGTACAATATTTTGTACCTCGGTTCTCGGTACAAAATCGGTATGGTACGCGGCTACCCGTATTTTTGCGGTTTTCTTCTCAGAACTGTATCCAAACCATTATTTTTAACTTTAATACATAGACATTACTATGAAAATGGATAGTATCCTACATTCATGGTTTTCTAACAACAATTACTGTACCACATATTATTAAAACAAAACCTTTTACTACTACGAGGATTGTGTCAAGAAAAATCACAGTTGAGATAAAGGCTTTACCTATTTTACTCTGAGATACTTTGAATAGCCATGATAAAGTAGTTTAAAAATAGGATGAGAGTTTTTATGAATAAACATGTTTGAAACATTTATTGGCAAGATAATTTCACAAAACTGATAAATTATTTCCAACCAACACAATGTCTAGTTGTTTTTTTTCTATTTTAAAAACATATAAAAGCATTCAGTAGAAGACAGTGTAGTTTTGCCAGCTGTTCACAGCAGATGACAATGAAAAACTGGAGGTTATGATGAAGTAATGGCAAAGACCATTTTTTTTATCAGCTTCAAAACTAGTTAAGTTATAAGATGGATACAATTCTTGCAAAGTTTTTTTCTGAAACTAAAATTTGGATTATCACAGAGTAAGATTTGATGTTGGGCAATTAGACTTTATAACTGTGTAAAAGGTGTGTATCCCTGAATTTATAAATTGCATTCTACACTTATTCACTGCCAAACATAATTCAGTAGAACCTTGATGAACCGAGAATTACACTAGCCTACATAACTTCATTACCCCAAGTAAAATACCAAGATAATTTTTATAATTGTATTTGAATCGTATAATCTTAGTTTGTTAAAAATGGATTGTATGTTCAACAATAATTGCAGTCCATTATTGTTAAGCAGTATGGTCCCAAATTATTGTTTTTGATTTTGAAACATCACAGTTCATTTGACAAAATTATAGTTGAAGCAGCTCAATGTCAAGTCACGCACGCTTGTGCAATAGTTTGTTTACATGCTTTCTCCAGACCACGGGGAGGGGAGGGTCTGATAAGCCGTCTATTGTTCACCCCCAAGAAGGTCCGACCCTCATTAGTGCCGCTCGGCTGCACTCAGTGGGGAACCCAATACCACAAATCAATCTTTTAAATGAATACAAATATTTGGTAATAATTGTTTTATTAATATTCACCTTGAAATTTCAATAAATTTGGTGTAAAATTTGACACAAATCTGCCATTTGGACCGATTATTAATACAATACCAAATACCAATAAAGTAGTACCCTACATTCATTGGTAATTAAATAATAGGTAAAAATTTACCGATTTTCGTCAAGTTTTACCCCCTGCTGTGCGCTATGTCACAAAAGCTGATAACGACATGGGTGATTAGTAACCATGGCAACTTGTTGAATGCGTGATGAAGGGAAACCCAAGAAATAGAAGAACAAAGAGAAAGAATGACTGTTATCTTTATACCCTTTTTACAATTTCCGTTATTGTTATCTTTATGTAAGATTTTATGATTTTGTTTTATAGGTTTATAAAATAATTCTTTTTAACTACGGGAATATCAATTTATAATTTATCAACGTGCTTCTCTTCTGAAACAGCAATACCGGATGCATAATAAAGGTCAATGGCCTAAAATATCACGATTGTGCAATATTGTATTTTGATGTTGAAATTAAAATTACGACAAAAGTTTGTATATATCCATGGTCGTCAATAGAAAGATAAAATATCCATAACAAATATTTAATTTATAAAATAAGATTGTAGATTTGTTACAAGTTTAATATGTAGCCATAAACAGTTTTATGGCAGTAGGCAATGGCCAGCGGCAAATTCAATATTCACGAAAATACTGATTAAGTTAGAGATAACATTTAACAGTCATCATAAAACTATTATTTTTATGATAAAACAAATTGGGGAAAGTCGTAAAGAAATAAAAGTGATAAAACTCAACAGTTCTTGGAAGTACTTCAATACAACAATTATTGTCGTGATAAAATGTTAATGGATTTGGGACTGCTAATGGGTTTTTTATTGCATCATCACGCTAGTAATAAATTATGAAGATCGTAATCTGATAAGACTTTTATGTGCTCGGAACCAACTGCCGTTGACTACGATAGTAAACTGAAAGTAATTTATTATTATAATAGGCTGTACCGAACCGAATTTGTACCGTGTAAAATGCTGTACCGAACCGATGACGGTAATTAAGCTTGTACCGTACCGTACCGACTTTTTCGGTGCACCGCAGACCCCTAAAATCCACCAATAGAATCCAACAGGCCCTACAGTTTCCTACATCAGTTTTACCTTGCTCCAAGACAGACGAACAGCTGAAACCGACCGTCCTTGCCCAGTGAGTGACCAGCCATCAGTATCTTGTCTACCAAGTCACAGTAGTATCTGGTCACGTCGTCACATTCACCAGCGGACTCCTTCTCCTCCTTCACTTTGGCTGAACAAAAACAAAGACTTATGTGAATTCTACACTCTATAAAACCTATAAAACTTATCACTACGCCACAGATGATGCTAATAAGCCCACGCCCATTTACTAGATAACAAGTTTACCAACTTACCAATAAAGTCCCATATGTAGAGATTGCGGCCAAACAATCTGACAGACTTGAAGCCGAAGAGGAAGACCTGTTCTAGACAAGCCACCAGTCCCGTCTCTCCACACAGCAGTAGTGTCCAGGAGCTCACCTGGTCCTGACTGCCAGGGTGATGATAGAACTTGACAATGCTGTTGAGACAGTCACCTGTGGATCACAAACACATGTTATGCTGTTGTCTCATTCATTCGTTTGAAACATTCCCACACCATATTAATGGATATACTGAATGAACAACTTTAAGCTACTAGCACTCGAGGCAACTCACAGAAGCGAAAAGAGTGCGCAATGAGCGGCTGTCCGGGAGCCTCACTGGACTGCCTACTCAACCGTACTCCAATTGATCTGCATGTCAAGGTCACTGCAAGGAAGACTGCCTAAAGACTCCAGTGTGAAAACCTTTGGTTGGATGTTGGAAGGATCCCGAGGTCACTCTAGGATTACTCAGATGGTAAGAGGGGAGGTACCGATTTGATTCTTCCTCGCCAGGCCATTCACCATCCTTCTATCATCCAGGGGTGAGTAGATGTCGGGAGGGAATCCTCTTCCACAGGGCAACCTTGAATGGTATACCGATGGTTCAAAGAAGTGGGACAGGGGCTGGAATTGACGGGGTGCAAAATGGGGTGGACTTATGTCTTCCCATGGGTACACATCCAACTGTGTTCTAGGCCGAAATAACTGTGATAATGGAGTGTACCAGTGGGAACCTGGGGCTGGGCTTCAGGGACATAAACATTTCCATTTTCACAGACAGCCTGACAGCCATCACAGCCATTTTCACTCCACGCTAAAAAACGCTTGACTCCTGTGAGTTCAAGTCTCTGAGTCTGTGAGTTAAAGTACTCTGGGAGGACCTCACTGCAGTATGTGCCCTAGGCAGGTGCAACACAGTAACACTCTGTTGGGTTCCTGGAGACTCAGGGATAGAAGAGAACGAGGTGACTGGCAAGTTAGCAAATGTTGCGTCAGCTTCAGACTTTGTGGGATCACAGTCTTTCTGTGGAATTTCTCATGGGTATACATGTCACTCAGTCATATCATGGGCTCAGGAGGAACACATGAAAAGATGGGTTAGGCTTCAACACCAAGTAAGCTCACTCTCTTCTCCCCTTCCCAGATGGTCGCCTCCAAAGCTCTACAATTATACAGGAGGCAACTCAGACAGATCACAGGAATGGTCACAGGCCATGGCTTCCTGAAACTGCACCTACATCGCTTGAGATCCATAATGGAGATACTGCATGTAGGATATGTGGGCAGTTCGAGAAGACTGCAGATCATCTACTCTATAACTGTACAGCTCTGAACGAGGAAAGGGAAAGAAAGTACTCTTGGAACAATGATAAGGGGTAGACACCTTCCGCAGGAGGAGCTTATAGATAGGATGCTGTAGTATATTTTTCCATAAATTCAAAGAGAAAATCATAGAGTACATGGTTTTGTAAAATGAAAACTGTCTAAGGACAAGATTGTTTTAAGTAAGTGAAATATTAAAAAAGGTTTATAATTTTAAATGGTAAATGCTCAATTTATAAACATATTTTTTTTATACTGGGTTTTTGTTGTAATCTATTGGGTACAAATACTGAAAGTCACCACCAAGTAAGAGACAAAACATTTAGTCTTCATCAACCCACCAGGCCTCACCAGTTGTCAAACACACATACAGTACATTTTTTTTAGATTTTACTAATACTATCACAACTATACTTGCAGCATTCAAAGTCTAGGGTTACACTGACCTAGCATTGTCTGTATATCAGCTACAGGCATTGCTCGTTTGGGCGGAGGTACGCTCGGACTGCGTACACGAGGAGAGTTGCTACCTCTACCTCGTTCACTGTGCTCGCTGACTCGCTCACCCACCAACAGACGCTCAGTCGAGTCATCATCAATCCCTCGACCCAACCAGCGACCGCAGGGGAAACTGTAACATCACTTGTGTTAATGTAAAGTTTGTGCACGATATTTCAGTATTCACAGGACCTGAAAGGTGTTGGATTAACTTAAGTAACAATACAAAAGTGTTTAAGATAAAAGTAAAACGGATAGTATTGGAAGAACTAGGCAGTTGTGCTCTTATTAAACACCCTAATCACTGTAACGGGGAGCGAGTTGGTCTGTGGAATAGCACAGGACTTTGGTCCGTTTTGTCCCAGGTTCAAATTCCGCCAATTACCAATGGATTTTACCTGAGTAGTGACCCTGTAAACCCTAGGTCTAGATCAAAGTAATATGAAAACCCCGGGCTAGAACCTAGGATTCTATTTTCATCAGGATTTTCTCCAAGTGTAACTGCTCTGAATCATCTAAATTTCCCCTATATCAGTCGTGACATGTAGGCTAGCACTTTTGTTCTCTGCAGTAGTAATCATTGCAATACTTAGTTTAATTGCAGTTTTGAAATTCCTGAAATGTATTCTATACAGCTGATCGCTGACCTGTATGTGTGGCCAGTTATCTCGTTCCTGACGATGACGTACTCCACCATCCACTTGGGACTCAAGCCAGTGTTGTCATGAGCAATCCTCAGAGTGGTCAAAATGCCGAGATTCTTATGCTGAAATCAACAACAGTCGACTAACTTCTCGTTCAATTAAAAAGATAAACAAGCACATAAAAACCATGAGTTTTCTTTAACTCTATGAATCATTCTGTGATTTAATTTTGTGTATGTTTATTGATTTAAAATCTTTATCTTGAGGATGAAAATTCCAAATGATAGTTAAAGTCTTTGGTGCACACATGGACTCAATGGAGCTTAACTAGCTTTGTGTACAACACACCAAAAGTAATTTATGTAGGATCTTCTCATTCTATAAAATTAAGTGTTTACTATTTGCAATATTTTAAAAATACAACCTTAAAAACTCTACACTTTCAAATCAATGTTAAAAGAAGCATTACTTTACTTGAGGTATTATTCTGCACATTTTCCATCACCATTAGTAAAAAACAAAGTTTTCAAAACATTTTTGGTTCTGAAATTCAAAGGGATGTGGATCCCGAAACTTTGCGAAAACCTGTTTTATACCAATTGAGGTGAAACATTTATTCAACGATTCCTGCAAAAAAATATAGCACCAAAATTAAACTTTAAATAAAGAAACATTACTTCCTAGTGCTTTTAAAACTGTAATATTAGACAACCGTTGTCACACTCACATGGAAGACAAACTCAAATGAGCCTCGAGGAACAGGAACGCGCTGAGTCTCGCCGAGACTGCCAGACACTACGAGCCAACAGTTGGCCGTTGTCGTGCCTGCGTTGGTCTTCTGTGACGAGAAAATGGCTACTCTGTAGGGTATCCCTGCAACACAATGCAATGCCACTGTATAGAATGGTCTTACAAATGTAAACTGATTGAAAATGTAGTCCTGTTATGTGACTCAATTTTTGCGGGGGATGTTTAGGTATTTGGTATTAAGTAAGACTAGGTGAAACCCGTCGAAATCGACGGTTACTTTCAAGGCTTACGTTAATTTGTCTAACTGCGATAAATTGGGTGAAATATACATATTTTGAACATTTAGCAATAAGTGTAAAAACAATAATGACATTAATTGCGTTAGTTGCCAAATTTGGTTGATCATTCAATGAATAAAATATTCCCCATACCGTACGTCATCGGAGTTATTATTAGTATGTTATATGGTATATCTTCCTTTGGAAGAACGTTTAAATAGTATTAAAATCGTATTGATGGATCTTTTGTAGTTAAACACTTTCGTGATTTCATCAGTGTAATATGGTTTTATTTCAAAAGAAAACTTTTTTTGGGAAGACATATTCTAACTTCAAAGGGAGGTATATCCGTTACAGCGTAAGTTTGATTTTTCCTTCGTCACATCGCGTCAGTTCATATCGTACTTCTGTGCCAATGAATGAACCCTCTAGCATAGTTTTGAGAAATTATTGATTGTGGGGTTACTGTTAAAGATGGAATTCCTTGACATGGGGGATGTCAGTTAGTTGTCTCAGCCTTATAAATAACATAAAGTTGTCAATATAATCTCTCAACGGAATGTTTGATGTAGTGGAATACTTGAAGTGAAGTTGGCTTTTATTCTTGTACTGTTAGGGGCCTCCTCGTTTATATGGTCGTGCGGCTTCATAGGCAACAAATAATGCAAATGACATAGCAATGGGACATTTCCAAAAAGCAAAAATACTGTAAATTGGCTGTTACGTATATATTGACGTTTACATATGGTTAATCAACGTATCTTATAAAGAATTATGTGATCTAGTTCAAAAGGAATATGACCTTTCTGTCATGACAGTAGCTGCTTAAAACGTATTTTCTCTCTGTACCATCTTTTACAGCCAAAATGTCGTGTTATTTTCAATAACGTTACCAAACCGTGCCAAAGTCCGTAATATAGGCAGGTGCAAATAATTTGTCAAGATGGGTACCATTTTAGACAAAGTTTCTATGTTTGGATTTTATTAGACACCATAAGAGCAGATATTTCTTCATAAATATTTCATATGTGTTGAATAATATGATAAAATGTAGGCAAAAGTGGTGAAAAAGGCAGACACCTACCCGTACAATAGATATAAGATAGTTCAATAAGAAATAATTTAAGAATTGCCGTGATAAAAGGATTTTCTACTGCTTACGTAATGGAACGTTATATTGCAAAACATGATATGATAAAGAAGGAAATCAATTTTACAATCAGAAAATAACATTGCAAATACTTATTTGGTAGAATTCAGTAACTCCCAATAAATGTGTGTTGTTTGAAATACTATTTAAAAATGAACAGCTGTTTCATTAAAAAGTATTATTCACATGGCCAAAATGTAAACAACTCTGTAAAGGGATCTTTAAAGGCTTCTGGGGCAGAGTCCTAAGGGATTTTGATTAGTTTTTCTTTTGATAACTCATCTACAGACCAAGACCTTTCTTTGGACACCTCTACCAAGTTTCTACGCCCAGCCGTTCTCTCAAATAAGTGGGGACAATTAAATATTTGGATTCCCCCATGTTAATCTTATGGGAGAAACTCCAACTTTGATGGCCTGTAGGGCAAAGCCCGAGGATTTTTATTACAGGAATTGGTGAAAGGCGGCGTCCACACAAAAAATACCTTATTTTGACACGTCGTTTGTAAAAATCGGTCCATTATTAACGGAGGAGTAGTGTTTTGTAGAAATCGCCTTCACGTATTATATATAAGGATGAGGCATATTTTCAAATAAAAGACTTTGTAAAATAATCACAAAACGGGATTTGATTTACTTAAGTATATTAAGTACACACTTGTTAAATGAAAAAAATTATATCCATTGTGAAGTTTGTAACAACAACTCTTATACTGTATTTAAAAAAATTGATATTTTTCATTTAGTTTTATTTCTTACAGAAAATCAGGTTTAAGAATCAATTTACCCTAAACATTGTGGTGAAAGGTATTGAAGTTATGTTTAGTATAGCATAAGGCATGATAATTGGTACCTATCCATTTTCTGCGTTTTAAAATAACGTGCGTCTTTGTTTTTCTGTAGTCTACATGATTCTCAAAACAACCAAAACTCACTTGTGTTAGTATATGTGTTGGTGAAGCAATGGTAGTCGACAGCGTTCAGAGTGAGCAAATGATACAGGAACTGTTCTTTTTCTTCATCACACCTCAGGAAGGCGTAACGTTTATACTGGCTCCTGCAACACAGGTTGTGAAAACAACGATTTGACTGATGGGAACATTATATGTACAGTAGGGATGGACAGGTCTTATAATTTCGTGAAATTTTAAATCTCATTCTATGAGACGAGATTATAAATATTAATAAAAAGTTAAAAAAGCCTGTAGAAAGTCAATGCAATACCCGCAGTACAGAAGCGTGTTGTTGTTGCGTTTCCTTTGCGAAAGGTGTTCTTATTTAATTCATTCTTTACATGTAAATATTGCTTTAATTGTTTTATGTTTTGTTTTGACATTGCAAATGATGAGAAGTTGTGTTAAGTGTAAGTAGTGTGAGACATGTTTTACTACTGTAAACATAGCCAAAACCAGTAACTTAATAGCACAAGACTGAAAAATTGTTAGGGTACTTCATAATTTAAAAAAAGATTAGAAAGAAAAGATTAGACTGTATTTTACGAGTAAAACATCAGTTCCGGATCAAATTTACAACAATCATTACAGCCTTAATTGTTAGGTTAAAAAATCAATTTACTTGAGCAAAGCCGTGTCGCTGAGCAGTGTTCGGAGGTGTCGGGAAAGCAGCTTCTTCTCCAAAGAAAGCCTCACCCAGGCCCTGGCATATCCGATGTGTGTCTTGATGTCTGTCATGGCTTGGACACATCTAGAACAGGGTGAAGAAAAAAAACTCTTTAAAATTCTAGCAAAAACTACCTGTACTGTGTGTACAATCAATGAAATTAACTAATACTAGTAACAGTAACTGACTAGCTCTCCCAGTTAGTCTTTGACTACAGACCCCTAAAGCAGAACGATTTTACACTTTCTGCAACGGACTTGTAAAAATCAAAAAATTGTCTGCGGGCTTAAATGGTCCAAGTTGCGTGTAAGTGAACTGTGTGTGTGATAGTTTTAATGAATATTTTGAAATACAAGTTTTCAAACGCTCATGTTTTGAATAAGCCTACTGTTGAATCACTTAGTTATTCGGTTGTTCCATGTGTTCTTACTCACGATCGATGCACCGAATATTGACGTCGCACCTTTAGTTTATGTAATGCATGACATTTTGTAGCATTACTGTTTGCAGAAGGGAGAATGTTTCTGCAGAAAATAAAGTTTTAGACTTTCTACAGAAACATTTTCTGCAATAAAAGAATTATATTAAGTTGTTATGTAACTTAGCATTTTCTGCAGAAACTTATACAGGTTAAGTGTAAGAAAGGATCAATATGGCCCTAACTTTGCCTGCAAAAATTAGTAATTTTCTAAAGAAAAAAAAATGTTTTTGCAGGCTGGGCTTTCTATGACAATGTTGCACTGTCGCCCGTAGTTCTGCTTTGGAGCTACAGACAAACAGAACAATTCCTTCTATCCCCATGTCACCAGTTTTATAATCAAAATGGACATAGTTGTATTGAGCCAACAGTGTAATGATGTAAATTGCTGTATTTTATTGAGAATGTTAACTTTTTAACCACTCGTAACCAAAAGAAAATAACTTACTTTAATCCGTGTTTTTGTGTATTAATGAAAAATAAAGAGAGAAAAATGAGTAAGCCATGTTAACGAGAAGAACAGAATGGAAATGATATTTTTTTGTACAATATAACGAATTATTTAACAATGATCTACTAGCATTTGAAAGGCTTACCTCATGTCAAAGGTCAGTGAGCTGGGCAGTGGTCGCAGCGATGGCTGAGCGTGAGACTCCTCACTGAGCCGTCGAGTGTTGCTGGTCCTGGTCTCGGAGCGACTGCGGCCGACGGTGGGTGATGAGGCTGGTGATGTTTCCAGCGCCATGGATGACAGATCTAAACATCAAAAGGACAATGTTTGAGTACACAGCAATATTGGATTACAGTTTTTTTAGTTAAAAAAAGGAAACAATTATTTGTATGAGTACAAAACACTTAAGTGAAACATTTATTAAAGCTCCTCAAGTGCAACAAAGATGCTTTGGGTACAAATCACACAATAAATCTTTCCTAAGGTTTATCATGAAAAATAATATTTCATTTTTGGATTTTTTTAGCAATACTTGCACCAAGAATCAAAACAGTTACATAATGAATGGGGCAAATTGTTCTCTTCTTGTAAGATAAACATTTTATGTTCCATATTACAAATTTAATACAGATCTGCTATCTTTAAATAGTTATTTACAGTGGCTATTTACAATTAGCAAATAAATATATAACAATCTCAAAATTATAAGTTAACAATAGTTTTCAAACAATTTTATTTTAAAATTTAAAAATAAAAACCCCTACGACAAAAATAATTAGAAGATACACAGCTTTACTTGTTGAACATGGTTGAGTTATCTACAAAGAAATCACATATTACAATTCAATCAAGTAAAAAGTACCAATTTCACAAACTGAAACAAACAGATAATGGAAAGCACATGATGTAAATTTACTCATTGCACCAAGCATGCACTCTTCTCCAAGCTTTGAAGCTTTGATATATACACGAGAATCGGGAAATCTTAACTAGGTAAAACCCTTAACTTTGGATCAAACTTAAAACTCCATTTACATAGCTCAATTAAGGGGGATATAAGAATTTATTAGGCTGTTTTACACTCAGTAAACGAGTAAACTAGTCCAGTGTACTCGCCACACTCGCTCACCATAGCTGCTATCATAGCTGCTATCGGGCTAAAAGCTTCAACATGACAATGGTAACTGTACTTTAATCCATTAATAGTCAAAGTAGTATACACAAAAAATAGTTTTTATTTGTGTTATAATTTTTTTACTTTTAAATAAAACAAATTATATAAATTTTCAAGTGAATTAATCATGAAAGTATTCATAATAACTCAAAAGGGGTGTTTTTTCAAAACTACTGCACACAATACAGGAGTATATTGACTTACCAAAGGGGATTAAGTCCATAATGTTAGCAGATCCTGAGCGGATGGAAGAGAATAGCTTCTGTTGGAATGAAGCCTTGGCAGGGGTGGAATCTTACCAGACACCAACAAGCAAAGTGCAGTTAATACAAGCAGTGCCAAGAGAGAGAGAGAAAGTAAAAGCGTACCATTGCCGAAAATGAGACATAATCTGTTCAGTTATATAATAAATGATAACAGCAAGGTCTGTCTGTACATTAAGGTATCCATCAAGATTCCCCAAGGTATTGGCCAAGCAAGCTAATTCGATCAGCCCAATTATTTTTACTTCATCCACTACTCTTCTAGTAGGATCCCACCTATTAATCTCGTCATAGTAGCAAAAAACAATGTGACAAAAAAAAAAAAAACAATCCTCCACTCCAAGCAAATAAGAATAACCTTCTGTGGTCTAAGTCATCAATCACTACTGAAGTCCATTGCCAATTGACGGATATGTTAGAAAATGTGTGTAAGGGATGGAAGGAGCTCAGAGGTAAGCATTTTCACAATGTTTATGATTTTTTGTGTGCCAAAGACTGCATGTGGTTGCTCATTATTCTTGTTTAAGGCAGTGACCAAAGATGGGGGATTTTACATGCGAATCACAGGTGACTGAACGAGATATTGTCAAACTGATAGGGACTATGTGATATTGTCCCTACAAGACTATGTGGAACAATAGTAACTTTTTGTGATCTTAAACAAGCTGATCACCTAAGCTGGTAACTTTAGTCACTCTCTCAATGAAACCTAAAGAAACCCCACTGTCAGTATCATTGACTAAATGTGTATGGTCTTCTTTAAACTACTTCTGCAAACTTCCTAAAGCCTCTTATACACTCATCATTTTAAACATCTGTCAACTGGCAACGAATTTCAATAGAGATTTACCTTTTTTTACAAAACTAATCATAGAAGGCAGTTCTTACTGCAAGGGGGTGGGAAGTGCAGCCTCTATACCGTTTTTGGCTACCCATAATATAACTGGCTATAATGACTAGGACTGGAGATGAAGTAGAAAACACAGCGTTTGTCTCAGAGTTGGACTAGCTCGCTTGGCTGCGTGTCCAGCTCAAAGGAGACCTTAATTCACAGACAGCTCTTGTATAAGAATAAAACAGGTTGTCGTTTTTGTGGAAAACAGAGAAAATATTGTAAAAATATTTTTAATTTGTTTTTAATTTTAACCCTCCATCAAAAAGTTTTTTAAAAGTACAAAATGAATGAATGAATGAATTATCTCTTTATTCCAACAATGTATTTACAGAATATGTACACAAATAATATAATAGAGCGCAATAGACAGTAAACTATTTGATGGTAAGTTGGTTGAATAGTTATTGTGTTAATTTTGTAATAGAAAATTCATCAGATCGATTTAAATAACAGCATTTGTTTATTGAACCGGGTGAAAACTGCAGCATTAGCTGCTACTTCCTCATTGGGACATTTTTTAACATGTCACATTCATTGAAACGTTGCATAATATTATAAGTTGTTTAAAGGGACGCTCATCTATAGAAAGTAAATTTTAATTTTACTTCCATATCAAAAAGAAACCACACCACAGGTCATGTTATTGCTCTCCTACAACATAAAACTGTAAAATAAAAGTATAAGTGCGCATGCACAATGACAATATTTACTTTTTTTATCGTTTACATCACAGCACAAGCTGAATTACAAAACGATATTCAAACAATACAAAATAACTTTATGTACAAAAGACAGCAATTCCATCCACAAAAGCTACGACGATAAAAACAAACAAAATTGAAAACAAAACCACCGGTCGGCTGAAACACTTATTATACGTACAATCAAGTCGTTTCCGTAGAACAACCCAAGCCAATGCTGCAGAACAATAATAATCATTAGGGGTTGAACAAGGTGAAAAGGGGTTGAAGAGGTGTCAACTTTGGAACGCCCATCGTAATTCAAATTTATATTCTCTCCTTTGCATTAATATTTGGTGCTAATCAACAAGCAAATATATTCCATCACCATAGATTTTAATGTCAGCATTGAGCATAGTACTTAAATATTGACAATTAGTAGGTAGTAAATCCAAATCCAAACTAATTTATTGTTAAAAACTGTTGACTAGTCAATATTATGCATGCTAAAATTACTAGGAGTTTCTAAAAGTGAGAATGATTTACGTTAATTTACTCCAACCATGGTCAATTTTTAAAATACTATTTCTAGAGCCATACTTTAAAGGAATGCAAATTAAACACTCATTATTACATTTTTCAAATTTTAGCAAATAATTTATGTCTAAAGTATATTTATTACTCTTAACTTTTTAGAAAAAATACTGTTGGTTATTGGAATGATTTTTCAAAAGAAATTAAGTTAAGTAGGGATGGACGGGTCCCGAAATTTCGGGAATTTTTCGGGAAAAAAATATTCCCGATTATCGGGACGAGATTACATTTGACTCGGGAATTTTTCGGGACGGGATTTGGTCCGATCGTCGGCGATTTTTCCGCTTTTTCCGATAACGCCGTTATTGCGAGCGATAGGTCCGCGAACGCAGGAGACGAAGTCATACCGACGATCGCGCCGTGACCGCGAGTCATGACGACGATCGCGCCATGACCGCGGAGTCATGCTGACGATAACCCCGTGACCGCGGAGTCATACCGACGATCGCGCCGTGACCGCGAGTCATACCGACGATCGCGCCGTGACCGCGAGTCATACCGACGAGCGCGCCGTGACCGCGAGTCATACCGACGATCATGCCGTGACCGCGAGTCATACCGACGATAACCCCGTGACCGCGGAGTCATACCGACGATCGCGCCGTGACCGCGAGTCATACCGACGATCGCGCCGTGATCGCGAGTCATGACGACGATCGCGCCGTGACCGCGAGTCATGACGACGATCGCGCCGTGACCGCGAGTCATTACGACGATCGCGCCGTGACCGCGAGTCATGACGACGATCGCGCCGTGACCGCGAGTCATGACGACGATCGCGCCGTGACCGCGAGTCATACCGACGATCGTGCCGTGACCGCGAGTCATGACGACGATCGCGATGTGACCGCGAGTCATGACGACGATCGCACTGTGACCGCGGAGTCATGCTGACGATCGAGCCGTGATCGCGAGTCATACCGACGATCATGCCGTGACCGCGAGTCATACCGACGATAACCCCGTGACCGCGGAGTCATACCGACGATCGCGCCGTGACCGCGAGTCATACCGACGATCGCGCCGTGACCGTGAGTCATACAGACGATCACCCCGTGACCCGCGAGTCACAAGTTACTATAGGTACCTGTAAATTGTTACCCATTTTTTGGTTTTTATAGATCAGTGCCACAAATGGTGAAAATTGATTTCATATGTCTTTTTTTGGTAACTGCAATACAGTACTTTCTTTTTATGCACAGAAAAAAATCCCGTCCCGTCCCGTCCCGAAAATCGGGAAGGAAATAAAAATCCCGTCCCGTCCCGTCCCGAACTAAAAATTCAATCCCGTCCATCCCTAAAGTTAAGCAAGCTAAGAACATTGGAATACAGTTATAGATAGGTACACAAGAAAAGGTCACAAAGCATAACATTGATATTTTGTCCTAATATCAGACTTTTTCAGAGAAAAGATCTATTTCTCTCTTTATTCAACACTCTGAACAAGTCTTATATTAGGACAAAATATCATAGTTATGTTTTGAGAACTATCAATGTGTATCTACAATACTAGTCCCAGGAATCAAATCTTCACAGGATTTCTAACCAGTTGCCTTTCCTTTGAAATATAACCTCATAAAGTTATTGAGAATAAGGATGTAACAAAACACAAGTGCCTATATTTTAAGATTTGTGTGAGGATAGCAGGCTTATATAATTGAAGGGAATTGTAGATAGCCTTAAACTCATACCTTCCTTAGTTTAGTTGAAAATGCTCAGTGGCAATGAAATATTCAAATTGTTTGTATATAGTGTACAGTTTTGCATTCCTTGTGCCAGATTGGTCTCTTTCCATTTTTAAAAGGCAATTCTGCTATTCTCACAAAAATACAAATTATACGTTTGTTATTTCAATGGCTGTAAAACTTTAACAAGTTTCTTTTCCAGCAAAAAAAGTTGCTGCCAACAAAGTATCTAGCCATATGCTTTAGTGTAAATGATCTAATGAGGACTCTTAGCTCTTTGACTTCTCAAGATATGTTTTGTCAGCTGACACCATGTTAGTAGATTCGTAATGTGTATTGTCTACCTGGTGTGAGGAAGTTTGGGTCGATGGGTTTGCTGGTGTCATTACACTCCTCCAGCTCCTGATAGTTGAGTAGATGTGACCACAGCGCTGACTTGCCCTGTAACACATTGTTGGATCGGATTAGAGATGTACAACACTGATACACCCGTGCAAAGATGAGAGTTGTATGGCTGATTTGTTACTGACTACGGCTAGTTTTTTTAGCCAGGACCATTAATAGAAAATTTTAAATCCCATCCCCAGTGGTCAAGGATGGGTCCAATTTTGAAACATCAAAAAGCTACTGACATTTCTCAGGGATAAACAAGGAACCTTCTGTGATTAGTAGGCGAGCACTATAACCACTCAGCTACCCATGGGTTTTTGACAGTCAGACGACATATGGTTCTTGACTGACGAGTGGCCAAAGATTTCTATGTGAAATAATACGAGGGTTGTTTTTTAAGTAAGGGCTGTTTTTGCGTATAGCTCTGTAGATCACCTGTACACCGCAACAGGGCTCATCCCACTTACTGGCATCATTTGTGAACAGAATGGTGCCATTTGAAGCTCTGTAACTGACACATTTTGCTGGGTGTAAAAAAAATTCAAAATTATTGAATATCCCGCTGCTTGTATTATACAGTAGTATATATATGGTATGTATTGGTGTACCTGTTTATTGTGTAGACCGTGAGCCCAAATCCTCTCCAGCAGATCACACAGACTGGCTATCAAAGTGTTCTCTTCAACAAGAGACGTTTGTGTCGAGTGGCCCAACTGGACAGCTTCAGTTCCCATTTTCTCCACCAGCATACGCTTTGTCTTTGCTTTGCAGTCCTTAAGGATAAAGTTGAACATTAGGCTGTTGGTCAAATATGTTCCTCAAAATATTGGAGGAGAAAAATAATAGATTTTTTGTAGTTAGGAAAAAAATTAATAGGTATTACAAGTTTTGTAGCTGCAGTATAATATATGCTACTGTAGAACCAATTTCAACCAAAACACTTTTAACGGCCTAAGAAGAAAAATCATCTTAGACTAAGGTAGAGAAAGGGAAGTGACCAAACAAAGAGGAGTGGCACAGGGTTCGTGACTGCAAACACACTACAACTACAAACACGTTACTCGCCTATACTATTATTAACAACATCTGTTAAATGGAAGTTGGAATCAGTCGATAATCTGTCCTTGCTACTCAAAGTGATCGTGTCAAAAACATTGTGAGAAGAAAAAAGCAAATGGAAAATCATTTGAAACATAGTAGTACTGCAGTAGTTGAACAATTTCATAATGCTTTTACATGTACATAATAAGGCTTAAAGTTCATTAAAAGTTTTATATAACCTTAACATGTACTTTAGTATTACATTTGCTACATATATTAGTATTACATTTGTATTAGTATTACTATTGCCTCTTATCACTTTAAATACTGAAAAAATTCCTTTTAACAAAATTATTGATCCAAGAATCCTTTGCAGATCCGAAAGAAAGCACCCTACTATTCCCTATGTAAATGTTAGGTTGTCCATTAGGTAATGAGGGAAATTCTAAGGTAACCTGTCATTTGGAGACAATGTCAATGTTTATAAAACAGCATTATTTTCTGCCACAATAGAGCTTTCCACAAACCCCACAGGGTACAAGAGCCTTCTTAGGCTGGGTTGACTGTAGCTGATAATACATAATGTTAGCCAACCTTTAGCAGTTTTTCCACAAAGTTCCAGTTGGTCTGGGCTATGAGGGCAGGACTCATGGCGGGGGGAGGTTTGTTGGGGGTGGGCTTCAATGTGTTAGCACCGAGGGGATGAGCTTCACTAGGGGTACGGCGGGGCGCCGGGGCATCCAACTCATCCAGGGACACACTGGACAGTGAGTGTGTCAATCCTGAGCGGGGGGCTCGCCATTGTACACTGCTGCTGCGCTTACGACTCCTACAACCAGATAACAACTTATCAGCAAACAAAGTGATATTATGTAATTTAAAAAAATACCTACTACACTTGGAAATTTAATAGTTACGGTAACCATTTGGCTTGAGAACAATTTTACAATTCCTTTAATAATTTCTCGTTTTTGTAAAAAAAAGAGATTTTATTTGTTTTAAGCACACTATGTCCATATTTAACAACAAAAACCCCTAATTACTGTGTCCTCCATTGGATACTTTTGGAAAGTGTGATCCCTATTAAACTCACTAATACCATCAAACTTCCATACAAGCCAGAAATCACTAATTTAAGGTGGGACCTCCCTACAGCTTAGCCAAACATTAGTAAGCCTAATATGGATTGTACTTGTACAGGAATTGAACCTGCGCACAAAGAATGACTTGAGGGCTACTACAGTCATCATGTTACCATCGGCTGGATGAGACGAGTGTTGCTTAGTTCAGTGACTCTAGCTTTGAAAGGTGAAATTCAACAAATTACTAAAGCTCCAGTAAGCTAGTGATGGAGCTACAGCAAAATGTCGAGACTTTCTGGGTAAGTCAAAATAGGTTGACGAAGAATAACACACATTCACGGTTGGATTCATACCTAAGTGATGGTTCCTGGTTCAGCAGTACGTTGTCCAGGAGGGGGAAGCCGGCACGAGTGTTCCGAGAGGCGTGGTTGGTCAACATCTCACGAGGTGGGGCGACTTGTACATCAACAGAGGCCAGTCGCTTGTCCAGTAGCCGCTGTGAGTCATTGATACTGCTACATCTCTCGTAACATGGTGACCTCACTACGTCTCCTCCACCGTACCTTTTCCTGAACAAATTACACACTCACCATTACATCCACTGAGGACACTCGGTTATCAAACAGATGTTGCAAACTATTGATGATGCGACACCTTGCATATATTAAAAAAATTGAGAAAAGTTTTCAGCTACGTAAAGTCTCCAACGAGCTCCAATCGCAAGCTAGACAGCTAGACCAAATCTGACACCAGTGCCGTAATCTTGACTTCATCCACTACAATTCCACCCAGTTCAGTTCCCACTAACAATGTGACCATTAGTCTTGTCAAATTAAAAATAGTTGAACATGATGTGAAGGAAAATTGATCCTTGGCGAAACTGTGGATTTCTGTCACATAATTTTTGGTTATCTAACACTGACTAATCGACGCAATGAGGTTTGAAGTGGCTAGAATAGTGGATGAAGTAAGAACATAGGAACACAGGATGAAGGAGCAGAGGAGGAGGAGGAGGAGGAGACGGAGGAGGAGGAAGAGGAGGAGGAGGAAGAGGAGGAGGAGGAGGAAGAGAAAGAGGAAGAGAAAGAGGAAGAGGAGGAGGAGGAGTAGGAGGAGATGGAGGAGGAAGAAGAGGAGGAGGAGGAAGAGGAAGAAGAAGAGAAGGAGTAGGAGGTAGAGGAGATGGAGGAGGAAGAAGAGGAGGAGGAGGAAGGGGAAGAGGAAGAGGAGGAGGAGGAGTAGGAGGAGATGGAGGAGGATGAAGAGATAGAGGAGGTGGAGGAAAAGGAAGAGGATGATGAGACTGTTGTCATATTTTAGTTTTTTTAGTCTTGACAGGAACTCGATGGAGATCTTTGCTAAACAGACAGCTCAAATAAAAGGAATGATATTATTAAAATATAATTCATTAATAATATTAATACTAGGGTTGCTTTCAGAGAGGTGAAAGCCAGTTGAGCGGAACAAAAGGGATTTGATATTTGTATAAGTAACTAAATGTAAAAAAGTCAATAGATGTACTAATGCTGGTTTTATTGATTAAAATTATAATAATTCAGATTTGTTTTTACTACATATTGTTATTCAGATACCTCTTCCAAAAGTGCATTATAGTAGTTTTGACCAGAAAAATATTACAGTAGTTGGAATCTAGTATTAACATCCAAAAAGGGCATTAAAGTATAAAAAAGAGAAAGGAAATTTAACATTCAAATTCAACTGTAGCCTACAACAAAAACATTGGACTTCATTTTTCACCCTTACAATCGGTTAAAGTAGGATATATTAAAGTATAAAATAAACGGTATCAGCATTCTGACACATACTTTCTCCCATAAGTTTGTCAACAACCATTATCATGTGTATGCGGTGAGAGTAAATATACGGAAATGGGATTTGTACAATTTTGTTCAGAATTTAAAGGACTATAACATACTAAATTTTTATCAAAATCGTACGGGCCATTTTTGGGAAAGTCCGATTTTTCTGTTATTTCATGGGGGTTTTATGGGAAAATGACATAATTTACAATAACTTTTTAACCGTAATTTTTACAGAAATGCTAAATTTTGTTCAGAATATAAAGGAATATAACATAAAAATTGTTTATCAAAATCGTTCGAGCCATTTTTGGGAAAATCCTTTTTTCCGTTATTTTATGGAGTTTTATGGGAAAATCCCCATTAAAAATAAACATTTCTAAAAAATTTAAAAAAACTATCAAAATTGTAAGGACCATAACATACTACGTTAAATCAAAACCGGACTTTTTTTCTAAAATCCTATTTTTTGTTATTTTATGGGGTTTTTATGGGAAAATAACATATTTGACCATAACTTTTGAACCGTAATTTTTACAAAAATGGGATTTGTACCATTTTATTTAGAATTTAAAGGGCTACAACATACTAAATTTTTATCAAAATCGTTCGGGCCATTTTTGAGAAAATCCAATTTTTCCGGTTTTTTTATGGGTTTTTATGGGAAAATCCCCATAAAAAATAAAAATTTCAAAAAAATGAAAAAAACGCCTGGAGATACCATGGATTAGAACCTACATACCAAATTTCATCGAAATCGGACCTCAGGTGTAGTCTCTAGCTCTGTACACATCCAGACACACAGACACACACACACACACACACACACACACACACACACACACAGACATCACTTCGAAAACCACTTTTTTGGGTCCAGGGGGACCCAAAACGAATATATCCACTCAAAACCCAAACTCAAAAATTTTGACGAAAACAATACTTTCTCCATATACTATGGTATAGGGGGAGAAAGTAAAAACAGTAACTATTAAAAAAACGAGTACCGGTATTAAAAGTATTACAACAGGAGGGGAAATTTGACATTTAAATTCAACTGTGCAACATAATCATTGGTCTTCATTTCAACCCCTGCAATTGGTTAAACTCAGCTTTCTTTGCTGGAAATAATTTATGATTGTTAATACCAAGTATTCTTCATGGAGGATATGATTGTAATGTAACTGGAATGTAGGTCTTCTACCATTATTAGGCCGATTTAGAGACGGCATTTTAATACTGTCCTTAATAATACCATTGGCCATTTCACAAAACGCAGATTCCATTTTCAGCCGAGCCATTAAAATGAGGATTTGCCGAACAATTATTAATATTACAGAATAGTATTTAATGATATACAACTTTTCACATTTCATAAATTATATGTTAGTTTTGCTATGGTCAAAGGTCCGAATCCAAATGTTCTTTTCATTTGGTTTTTATGTAGTAGTAATTTGCTAGAATACAGTAAATGGTTTGTTAAGACCATATACAAACATTTTTGAAATCGTTTCCCCGTTTAACCAACTATTTCAAAAGATAAAAATTATATGGTGCAACACAAATAAACAACTCGTTCACCTACCCATAACCAACACTTTACCTCCCTAATCTAACCTTACTTCAAAACACTTAATGTAGTCAAGAATACTCATAAACCCCGACCTACCTTCCCCACATGCCTAAATTAGATCAGTGTTCAATCTGCGTTTTATTAATAAGTGTAATAACTTACTGCACCGTTGATGTAATTCAACATAATACAGGGTGTCTCAGACCACCCGGCCGGCTTGTATAGCTCCAATATGAAAGCAAATGGAAACCTAATTGCAACTGGAACCCCCTATTTTGACCCCAAGGAATTCAGCTAAATTATTTTCAACCCCAAAAAAGCAACCCAAAGGGCAGATTTTGGGGGGTGGGGGTGGTTTTTGGGAAATTTTCAAATGTAAAGGGGGGTCGTGTTATACCTCTTGTTAAAGGTCGTTTAGTCCTGAGTATTTTAGTGGAAAAAGATTTAAATTATCTTCATCCCTATTTACAGGGTGTTCAAAAACGTACAAAAAATAGACCTTTGAACTACTTTTCACTGTAAAGAGGTGGAATTTCGTGGGGGGTTCAAATTTTGATAACACTTTAATTGCTAAATGAGCTTTCAAAAAACTCTGGTTTCAACCCTTTTGCTATCTTTTTACTTATGTTACGCATTTTCAAACTTTTTGAAGTTTCAAAAGCTGTTATCTCAAAAATTTCAAATGGCAACATGGGTTTCATTACAAACCACATTGTAGCCCTTGAAATTTGCTATAATTTTTGTATTTAATGCTTTTTGGTATCTTCATTGGTTAAAACGAAATTAGTGTATTTTAATGTTTTATTAAATGGTATTCAAAGTGTTTGCTGTTCCAAATGTACACCTAGGTCTCAATTAAAACAAATCTTGTCTAAAAAAATTAAATAGTACTCAGATTGTTGATCTTGGAAGATTGATAAAGGTAAAAACACAACTGCAAATATTCTTAGTTATTTTACAATTACATAGCTCTAATAGTGCTTTAAATGAATAATTTGTTTGAATCAGCATTAATAGCCTACATACTGATTGACTTCTACAAATGCTTAAATTGCCTTCCATTTTGTTCCATGCAAACCCCAACTCTATTTATGCACGTAGTACTTCTTCTCCACTATTATGGTACTGTATTGCTATTTTACTACCGCAGGTGCATTCACCTCTCGTACAGATCCAGTAAGTTCCTTATAATTTGTTTTATCTGATCAAACGTGACCAGTTTCACGCACACGCTCATTGATTTCATGATGATTTTTTTTTTATTTACCAGTAGCATTTATAGACAGTATTTATTCAAAGCACTATTAGAATTTTGTAAATTGTAAAATAACTAAGAATATTTGCAGTTGTGTTTTTTCCTTTAATAATCCTCCACAGTTTAACAATCTGGGTAGTATTTTAATTTTTTTAACATAATTAGTTTTAATTGAGACCTAGATGTGTACATTTACAACAGCAAACACTTTGAATACCATTTAATAAAACATTAAAATACACTAATTTCGCTATATCTCTCTAACCAATGAAGATACCAAAAAGCATTAAATACAAAAATTATAGCAAATTTCAAGGGCTACATTGTGGTTTGTAATGAAACCCATGTTGCCATTTGAAATTTTTGAGATAACAGCTTTTGAAACTTCAAAAAGTTTGAAAATGCGTAACATAAGTAAAAAGATAGCAAAAGGGTTAAAACCAGAGTTTTTTGAAAGCTCATTTATTAATTAAAGTGTTGTCAAAATTTGAACCCCCCACGAAATTCCACCTCTTTACAGTGAAAAGTAGTTCAAAGGTCTATTTTTTGTACGTTTTTGAACACCCTGTAAATAGGGATGAAGATAATTTAAATCTTTTTCCACTAAAATACTCATGACTGAAGGACCTTTAACAAGAGGTATAACACGAACCCCCTTTACATTTGAAAATTTCCCAAAAACCACCCCCACCCTCCAAAATCTGCCCTTTGGGGTGCTTTTTTGGGGTTGAAAATAATTTAGCTGAATTCCTTGGGGTCAAAATAGGGGGTTCCAGTTGCAATTAGGTTTCCATTTGCTTTCATATTGGAGCTATACAAGCCGGCCGGGTGGTCTGAGACACCCTGTATAACCTGTGATGTATTATCGGAATAAATATCGATTTCGATGCGGTTCGATATATCGCTTATTAAATCCTGATTTCTAACATTGGCTGTTTCTAATCAGCTGGCAACACAAATAGGTTCCCAAGATCCTCCTCCAAATAGGTTCCTCCTTGTTTATGCTCCGCGCATTGAGAAAGTAGTTCCGTATATTTTCTCGATTTTCAGTGAATTCTGTGCCTTAAAAAATGTTTTAACGGCATTTTCTTGTTTATTAAAATCATAGGAATGGTTTAAAAACGTTTAAAAGAAAAGTCTAGAAACTTCAGACATACCTTATGATTTTCTTGTTTACATTTTTCTTGTAAACAAAAAACTGTCATATGGCTACTTTAGTCCCATAAGCCTAATGTCAAAATTTGGAAATTTTAAGTTCGTTTTAAATTGCATTAGCATTATCTAATTGAAATTTGTTTGTTTATTAACCATCTCACTATTAGTCTAAGTAATCTTGTTAAGTTTAGCTGAAATGTGTTCTGCCGTTATTGAGTGATGTTGCTTTATTTGTTGCATTGAAGTTGATCCCAAAGAGCTACGCTCGCTTCCCTCGCTCCGCTCAATAATATAATTTTTTAATCTCATAAAAATATTATCACACTACAAAACTAAGCACACAGTACCTGAGCAGTTTAATACGCCTCTCAAAGACCCTCAGGTTTGGTTCAGTCTTGCTCCAAGTCGCAAGTATCTTGTTGTCCACCAATGTAGCAAACATCTGCGTCTCGATGAAGCGAGACAGGAACGGCAGGTGATGCTGCGGCTGATCTGACAGGAATGTGGCCTTGTCAAAGTTCTGCATGGACTCTCTGTTGCTCAGCCATTGTTCCTTGTCCTGGATAATATTTTGGTGTCAAAATTAATTAGGAATGCAATTCAAAGATATAGTTAACAACAACAACAATTATAAACTAATATATAGGTTTTGAATATTTCCCGATGACAATATTTACACTACATGAGTCCATAGTTTACACTACTTTACTGCAATCGTCAACTATTATCCTTTTATCCTGAACTAAGAAATTATTTTGATCTGTTAAGTTTTTAGCTATTGATATGAGATATTCCATGGGTAAGCTATAACAAGATTTGGAATACTAATGGGAAAATTGGATTGACTCACCTACAAAGATCGGTGATGACAATTACTGATTGCTGTTGAATTTACTAATTTTTTTCCTCGCCAAACTGAAAGAGCATACTATTGCAAACTAAAGCATCTACTGTTTTGTCACATCAACTATCCTAGTGACAACTAATCAAAGAAGAAAATAGAAGTTAACTGCAGCACACTCTGTAAAATGCAATCAACTGTTTGTATTTGAATAACTGATTGTCTACAGCTGTTCCATATAGATGAAGTGAAGTGTCTACTTCAGTGTAGCCTATAAAAGTCATTGGTTGTCATTGCTAGTAAAAAAATAAATCTAGCCTAAATATAATTTAGTTTTGTCAAATAGCCTACGAGAGTAAACTGTGGGTTCAAACAAATATTGATAAATTCACTGACTATACTATGATAATAGCATCACATAGATTTTTTATACCTGATTTGGTTGGATGACGAAATGCTCGTACGAGGCGAAAATATGTACGAATCTGTTAAGGAAGATTTCTCTGATGGAGTTATTAAAGCGTAATTCCCTCTCGTATGACTCCTCGTCAATAACTTGGTTCTCGTCCAACTCTTCATCGGAGTCTTGAAGTGAATCGTTTAGATTTATGTCCCAGTCCGGTCCGTCAATGCCGTCCAAGCTAACACCTGCAGAAACTTGATCTTTAAGCTGGTGGCTTGAGTACTATAACTAACTTTTGAAAATGTACTAAAATTAAAAAATCAGTCCATAATGCATTTTGAGAGGACTCGCTATAAGGAAAAGAAAAACTTTTAACTCCTTCTTTATTGAAAGTGAAAACAATTATGAACTTTGAAAACACAGGCTATTTTTGTTCCTAAATAAATAGGATAGGTTAATCATTTATAGGAAAGATATACAATCGACAAAATATTGTTAATTAGTAGTTTTAAATAATTGTCTTAGATCGACAATAATTTTTCCTACTGTGGACATACAAAGTGTTTGATGGTAGTAGATATTGAGAGTTGTTGTGTATGTACCTGTTCTCCTGGCCAGTTTGACCAATCGCTTGAGTGTGTCAGGACAAGACAGCAAGGGAGGCCTCGAGGTGTCGTCCAGCTCGTTAGCCCACGAGTGTTTACGAGGCAACGTACAACTGGTCGTCATCAGGCTGTTCTCACTCATGTCCGTCTGTGTGTTGATTATCCTGTGCAAAATTGATAAGTGCGTAACTAAAAGTAATCCACATTCCAGGAAATTCAAATCCAGATTTAGCCAATTTTACTCTATTTCCAACTAAAAATATTTTTGAAAACATATTATAACAAATTATTTTGCTGGTTACTACTGTAAAAAAAGTTTCACTTTAACCATTTAGCTCATATTTTACAACAAATAATCTAAATAAAGAAAATCCTAAACATAAAGAATATTTATGCAGCAAATATCTACTCTGATTATTGTTTAGCATTGTTCCCGAGTTTTTTACCACAGGAATAAACAAGACATTACAATTAGTTACCTACCTATCATGATTGCTAGGGACTTTGTATCGGTCCAGAATTTCGGAGATCTCGCAGATGAATTCAGACTTGTGTGGAAACGAGGGTAGTTCCTCAGGTAACTGGACAGTCCGGGAGTCTAGGTCAATGTAGCACAGGTTGGCCTGCAAACACCACAAAATTACCAATTGAGATGGAGACACAACTGGGTATTTCATCACATATATGAATGAAGGATGAGTGTAGAATAGAGTGAGATGAATAATTACTGCCTAAGACCACCTGTTTCTTTTCACAGCACCAACTAAGTACTCGTTTTGATACTTGCCTTGGTTTAGCTGATATTTTAACATGATACCATTGCATCATTATTTGTAACTCATCAGGAGTATAACTGATACATTTTTAGTTTGCAAATGTTTTTTGATTATCTCCGAGACAAGATCAGTAGTTAATAGATTATTTAATAGAGACTTTTGTGTGTGTAGTTTATGAGACAAAGACAAACTTTAACCATTAGGTTTGTACTGTATATTAAAAAGGTACCTAACCTACAAAACTTTTACTTTTCCCACAAGCAATTTTTTGAATAATTTTAGTTAAAAATGTTCAAAGATCTGTCCTTTTTGTAACGGTAAAACGTAAAAGCAAGTAACAAGAAATTAAACACAAACTATTTCTTTGTCACTATTTCTTGTTGATGCCAGTTGCTTTGAATGATGCCAAGTTTCACATTATTTTGTCTTCTGGGGAACTTAACTGGTAAACAAAGAAAATCCTACAAAATTTGAAAAGTTCTTTAGGGACAAAATATTGTGTATTCCATGTTAACTATAGCCCTAGATTTTTCAAAGGACAGCTAGATATTATTTTATACTATGAATCACAATCTAGTCTACAGCCTTTAAAACGAATGATCCGACAAGTCCTACCTCGCTTGGTATGTTGATCCTGTTCTCGCGGCTGTGCAGTCCCATGATGAAGGGTACAGGAGCGTCCAGGAAGTGTTGCAGGGACGAGGGCAGGATCGGCACATAGACGTGAGGCCAGGTGAAGGGGAACAGCAGAGCCGTCATACACTCAGCCACTAGCATCAGCCTCTGGTACTCTACGGCAAAAACACTTGATTAACACATTTGCATAATGGCTAGGTCGGTAGAAGGAACAATCCTTGCCCTGTGTGGGTGAGTGTGTGAACAGGTTTAAACTCTGTTTCATCTGATAGAAGAGCCACATTATAACATGTACTGCGTTCCAGTGTTTCTGGATGCAGTTCTACAAGAAACCAACAGATAGCAGCACTGTACGATTAATTGCTAATTGGCTCTCAGTACATCTAAATGTAAGGAAAGAAACCTAGGTGAAAGGCCGGTGGGGCACACGGGAGGGACAATGGCTAACATAGTGTCAGCGTTCCCCGCTAGAACCGCTAAGTTGAAAAATTTAAATTAGGCTAATTTTATAATTTTTAGTTACAAAATTTACTTTTTAATTATACAATTTACTTTTTAATTATACAATTTACTTTTTAATTATAAAATTAAACTGTCATAACCTAACCTAACCAACCAAACTTGCTAATAATATAAAAAATACATAGGATAAAAATGAAATTTTTAATTATAAAATTTCATTTTAAAATTTAGTATTAGGCCTATAGGCTAAAATTAAACTGTCATAACCTAACCTAACCAACCAAACTTGCTGATAATATAAAAAAGATATAAGATAAAAATCAAATAAAGAAAAATCAGTGACAAAAAGTTAATGTCCCCGACGGGTTTCGAACTCGAGACCTCCTGACAACTAGTCCATGCGCAATCAACTCTGCCACGAACGCCGCTGGAAACACATCGTCTCGTTACGGTAATCGTGTTACCTCAATAGAAGACAGTAGCCACTAGAGGTATGACGTCACCACACCTTTAGCCATCGTCCCTCCCATATGCCCATCCGGGTGAAAGGCTATACGATGCAAACATACTGCAAAGTACAAACACCATACACTAGTACAATGTTTAACCTAAAAATGCAAGCAAACCCCAACATCTAAAATGGATAGCTAAACCAAACTGATTGTGGATGTTGGCATTGCTCTGTCCATATCTGGTGAGTACCGTGATGAAACAAAACTGAGTCAAAAATTGTTGTCACCTCTTTTCATTTTCCTAAATTTCTTATTAAAATACAAATTACATTTTTAGTAGTAAAAACAAAACACAATGTTGTTACTAAATAATAAAATAGAAAACAAGAATATAAAATAGCAACAGATTTTTTTTTTTTTAAATTCAATTATTACCTGCTTGGGGTTTGATAAACCAAGCAGAATTATTCCAAGTCCTGTCTTCCATTCTGCCTGGCGGGGTACGGCCCTTGAGGGAACCATTCCGGCATTCGCCTAAGCGAGGAAAGAAACCGTACAAACTCTCCTCAGAATGGCCGGTCTGATAGTCAGACCTCCCGAATGTGAAGTTGCAAGATGCTACCTCACTCGGTATAGTTGATATTTTTACAAAGGTACTTAATTCTATATGTAAACCAGATACTTAAATACTAGATACCTAATACTAAATACATAAGATGCTTAATATTTAAAAAATCTATCCTAAAAGAATTATTTTTTCTTCCACATCTCTTCAGGCCTTGATGTTATCTCCTGATTCCTGCTAAAAATCATCAGTTTTCTTTTTTGTTCTCTTCACTTTCTCTTTCTTGAAATTCTAGATTTTCCGTCACCATATCTGTGGTTTATGAATCCATCTTTTTCTACATGTCCCTCCATTTAAAGTTAGCCACATGAACTACATTTGGAGTTCCTTTGATTAATCCTCTTAACAATGATTTTGTTGAAGCTTATGACACAAGATCTCTACAAGGTTCCATTAATTCCAATTTCTCTTGCCATTAGGTTTCTTACTATTCCTCTGCATTTCTTCGACACTGGAGCGATGGGGCAGCCAATGGTTGAACTCTGCCAAGTTCTCTTGATTTTTTTTTAATTTTGACTAGACAAAATTTTGTCAGCAACCATTGCACAACTGTAATTTAAACAGAATGTAATTTGCAGTCTGTCAGCAAATTAATAAGTTGAAGTGTTTCCATAGAAACATAAATATTCACTGATTCATATGAAGTGTTTACTTTAACATCTTCCTTGACCAATGTTGCCTCACTACTGTTTATCTCAGGTAGAGGTGTGTATACCTGAATTTTTCATAGAGTTCTATTATTTACATAACTTCTGGCATTCATTATTATTTTACATTATTTGAATCACCTCTAAAAATTGTAATTTCAAGACTGTTTACAGCGGAAACATTGAAATTTCATAATAATCTCCTACAATCCTCACTTCCAGAAAGTTACTCCCCTTTTCCGGATTATTTTAGGAGGATTATTCGATAATACACTAGAATGTGTATTTTACGTTCGATACTGAACGTTCATGCGGTTTCAATCCAAGATTATCTCCTGCCATCATTGTGATCATCTCCTGCTATAGACACAGTCTTTTGCTCAACATCTCTGTCTACCGGACATTTGGACACCTTGAAACCACATTTATAAGCCCTAAAAGTTATGACAACCTGATTGCAAAGAGTGCTTACCAGATGAGCACAGAAGCACCTGGTTCTCGAGCAGCACACAGGTGAAGAGTTGCAGCACACAGTCGACACCGAGCAGTGTGAACATCTCACGCATCGAGTAGTCAAACAGCGGCAGCTCCTCTATGTTGGAGGGTCGCTGGATCACAGTGACACAGTCCGGATAGCAGAGGAAGCTAAGGGATCTGCCCGGACCCGGGACTACCACCTCGTACACCAGGTTGTATATGTAGCTCTCTAGACTGACAGGGCCTTGCTCCTTCCAGCACCTGTCCAAATAGGGCTATTGTTACGCAACATCAACAGTTAATTACAATTGTCACTATTTTCTACTATACCGTTGCCTAGGACATTTTAATAGCTGTCCGCAGCTGCTTTGACTATTGATAAAAGAAGACATTCCATTCCCTAAGCTGTAGTTAGTTCAAGAATGAATATGAACTATAACAAATATAGCCTAACTACAGTGCATAGTTGTATTGAGCCAATAATAGTGTCTTAGTCTTCTACCTGTCTATTACCTACTTCGTTTGAATAGACCATCCTTTCCAGTTTCCCCACTTTCAGAAAGTTACTCTCATTTTCATGATTGTTTCAGGAAATTTATACGATAATACACTAGGATGTGTGTTTTAACATGTTCAATGCTAAAAGAGAAGGACATGCAGTTTCAAATGGCTAAGCCTTTTGGTGTTTCTCCTAAACTTAACCTATACTAAACTCATATGCTGATACAAACATGAAAAAAGATAAGAGGTGTTAACAGTAACAACTACCTTCAATGGCCAAGATTACAATGAACCAATGTATTTAAGATCGTTAGTACACCACCTATTGTCGGTGCGCACCACACGGCAGCATCGGTGGTACAAAGTCGGCATGCACGGTGATAGTGTTAATCCGAAGATGAATAAACAAGTATGGATGAAATATCTACGTTACTGGGTACTGATCAACTTGTTTTTCAGCCAGGACCACAGCCAGCCGTCCATGATCAAAATACAGCACCGTTTTAAACAAAAATCTACATATCTTTTTAGGAATAAGCCATTATACTATTATAATTCTGAATTATACAACAGTAGTTCAGGACTCACCTGTACAAGCCAATGAGGAAGGCCTCAGCAGCATGTATGAAGGGCAGCTGCAGTATGAGTGCAATGCTCTTGGTGACGTGAAGTGTATCCTTGGTGTGGTCGTAGTAGTTCTGCGCTATCCGAGTGTGGTGGGAGGCCAGCTTGAAGTGACGAGGCAGAGAGCGAGTGTTGTGGTCCAGTACGTGCTTCCTGGACGGCTGCTGCCCACTGGACAGCTCCGTCAGGTGCATGGCCTGAAGATGAAATAACGGGACAATTGTAAGACAAATATCTTTATGAAGCACAAAAATGGGTTCCTTGTTAACACCACTGTTATGTAAAGCTATAGATTTTCATCATAAAGAACATCAACTAAGACAGATTACAAGATGGACCATTGGTCATGGATTTCTGAGATTACATCGCTTGTGGATACCAACAAAATTTTTATTTATTAATTATTTTAAAGAAGTTGGCGGCTTCTTTTAACCTTGCATTTATTTGCCAGCCCATATAGGCTAACTGCCTGTGCGTAGAACGTATCGAGCTAAGCAAGGGGTGAGCCGGTACAGTAGGCCTACAAAGGTGAACTGTACTGATAAAATGTTTGTGGCAGTGACCAGGATCTGAGCCCACGACATCGCTGCCTTGGTTCCGAAGCCCGCGACGCTACCAATTGAGCCCCCGACTCACAAATTTTATTTCCCACCTTCACACACAAGACCACTAGGTCCTAAATTTCTTCAACACATTACGTAAGACTAGTCCTAGAGAGCCGTGGCATTATCACATCTGATAAATTCCATTGGTGATTGGTGGGATTTGAACCAGGAACATCAGGATCCCCATACTACTATTGTAAAAGCTACAACTGTCCAGGATCTAAAATGTTTGTAAATAACTTTCATAAAGTTAAATACTACTAGTGAACCTGTGCGGCTCAATGCCCCGCAAAATAACATAGGAATTTAGAAAACAAATTCATCGTGTTATATATTGACTCGACGTCGAACATTAAATACAGTTAATAAAGCTTTAGAAGGGAAGCAGTCCAGCCATTTTCTAGCTGTATGTGTATTATATTTAGTAAATTAATAAGTGTTTATGTTCAAGTATGTTATAGGCAGCGAGCAAGGTTATAGGGTAGTTATTTTTTAAAGATTTGTAAAACACATTTAACAAAACATTTCATCATATCAAACCAATAGGCCTATATGTAGCATATTTTGGGGGTCATGAAAAAGCTGTTTGAAAAACACTAAAACAAACAATATTTTTATCACAAAAGCACTTCTATAAATACTACGATTTTAGTCTTAAGGTTACCTTCAGAAAGATTACCCTGGTCAGAGTTTTCCGTAACGAATATGCGTATCCTATTAAAAGATGTAGCCTTACTTAAAACAACATATAATATAGTTGCTCATGACTGAAATTGGTCTGGGTAGAACCATGCTGCTCTAAAGTGCTTGTGCTGCAAATGCCAAAGATAACAGAAATTAGCATCTTTCCATTTTAAAAGGTAAGTTTGTTTCAGACGGGCACATTTTTATCCTCGAAATCAAAATATGACCCCACTCACTTGTTCCAGTTAAGACTTTACATTCTATTAAGTTGTTAACCGTTCTGATCGCATGTAGCCTTGTGCCATTAATGAGGCCCTTTTTGATATATTAATATTCCTCTTCAATAAAACCACTGCCCCCTTTTATTAGTCTAATCTGTGTCTTGGCAATCCACTGACCTCTATATTAAAAAAAACTCAGTTGGATTTGCGAGATGGGTGTCTCCGCCTTCGCTGTTTTCGAGGACCCACTCTTCTTCCCCTTGGCACACTAACAATTAATTACCTACCTGACTTGTCAAGTTCATGTAGTAATTCATTAATACTGTTAGTTTATAAAAAAAAATATAAAAGTCATTTGGCTTGGTGTTTAATAACTGCAAACTCAAAATACACCCACGAGTAAAAAAGGATCAAGTTATTGGTAAAAGAAAACTATTTTTGTGTAATAACAATATTCACATGAAGAATATAATTTGTTGTTTTGGCGATCAGCTGTTTAGTTTCAAATGAATTAATAATGTCAAAGATTTGTGATTTTTAATACATAAATTATTATAATAAAGTTTTCTAAATCATGGTAACTTATTCTCAACACAATTTTACTATTCCCAGCATTAAAATAAAGTAGTAAGATCCATTATGGGTAAACTTTAAGGTACACAATCCTTGATTGAAAAGTAGTATACATTAAGAGTTATAATACACAGCAATTATTATGTAGTAGACTTTGACTATTTTCAAGTAACAAACATATGTTTCTGTAAATAACAATTATCTCCCATGTTATCCTTATGGAGAAATACGAAACTTTAAAGGGCCCCAGGGCCTCACTCTCTAATTATTTATCTAAAAAGAAAGTTTCCTGCACAACTTCACGTTACGCTCTTTTCAATGACACCAAAAACGTGTCAATCGGTTCAGTAGTTTCAGAGGAGTAATTGTCACAAAAATCCTGCTTGCGTATTAAATAAGTATATAGAATATAGATATATAGATTTAATGACTACATAATATGGTACATCTTTTGGATGAACACTTGCAATGTATGCTAATTCTTATTATCTAGGCTAGCTTAATGTAAATATCCAATTTAGCTGCATCATCCTAGTAAAACACGCATAAACATTTTGTTCAATCTAATGATGAGAAAAATTCTGATTATAAATTTACCTGTAACGTTTGCATTGCAGTGGATATTTTCCTATTGCGGACTTCCTCAAAGAAGACATAAGAAGCACCATAGTATCGTTTGCCATCTTGTCGGGTGATGACAAAACTGTGAAACCTCGGGTCAAGAGGGTGTTTTTGTGTGCGAAACTGCAGGCCGTGCGGTAGACATAGCTGAAACAGATATCACTTTAAACTGCTTATTCAACATTTTATTTTTGTTGTATAAAGGGAAAAAACCAAGTCTAAGACCAAATCTGACCCAAAGGAATAAAAAAAAAACAAACATTTTAAAGCCTATTGTAATATTTACTTACTCATTTAGGCTACTCTTACTCCCATGGTTATGGATACCATAGGTGGTATTTGGCCTCATCAATAAATTGCATTCACAATAGGGGAAAACAGAGTTTATCATTTTTAAGGGACATTGTTTACTCTATAATTAATTAACGATTTTTCATGAGATCTTTGTCTCACCTAAATAGGAAATTGTGCATCCTGATACTAAAAACACGTACCGGTATCGCTGACATCATTTTCAACACCAACCATAATTTCATTGCTTTAAAATTATGTCAGTGACAGTGGAATGTTATGAATGTGACAATGGAGTCACATGACAACAAGACATTTAAATTTCTTTGTGTATACCGGTAGTGTAAATTTGTGTTCTTGTGTCTAGGTGAACTATTCTCTATTCCAGGCAAGGCAGCTATCCTAATAGAAATCCCTAAAACCTTGGCTGTTGTGCCTCATTTAACGTCCTTAACTTACATAAACAATAAGTACCGGTACTTACCATGCCCACGGCATCTTTGTCGAAAGGATTCCAAGTGACGTTCTCAGGATAGTGTCCAAGCACCTTGCATTTGTAGGGTCTTTCTAGAGGACTTGAATGCAGATTGTCTCCTGCAAAGATATTATAATAAAACTCTCACTTATAGACTACTCCCAACTGTAGTACTATAGTAGTACCGATATGAAAGACCCACTAAGGCTGGGCGCACACTGATCCAGCATTTTACTTGAAGCAAAATGTTGCAAAACGATTTGCTTGGAGCGTTTTGTTTATTTGCTTCTCCAGTGTGCAGGAGGTTCAAGCATGATTCAGCATTTGGTTTCAAGCAAAATTAAGAAAAATAAATATTAGGATAAATGTTGTGTTTAGTGGTCCTATACTACAGTATTGTTTTAACATAAATGTGACGAGGAAATCAGCGTAGCTATTACTGTATATGTCAGTTTTTTGCTAATTTCTGGACTAAATAGAAAGACAAAATTGGGTTCACCCATCAATCTGTTGATAGACAGCTTTCCTCTCAGAAATTAAATCAGATCCAGGGAAACGTTACATTTATTGTCGAATAATTGCTAGACTATTTTATACAAAGGGTTTTGAATACCGTAAAAAATTATTATAAGATAATGTTGTGATGGTTATATAAATAATGATTAATGAACTGAGTAACCATTCTAATTTCTTAATTGTTTTACTACTTTGCATGGACTGTATGACTACCATTATATAGTGGTAGCAAGAAAAATAAAACAACAATATTGTGCAATGGAAATTTAAAATATAATTGTTAAGTTTTAACGAAACTTCAAAATTCATTTTTTAAAGAAGAGTTATTTTTTAAAGAACAACCGGTTAATTGAATTTTGAAAGCCACTAAGCTTTATTAGCTAGAAGGGATTTGGGGCATGCGCAGAACGTTTTGCTCCTTGAAACATCAAACATCGTGCTGTGTGGGATCCATTCGTCGAGCAACTGCTCAAATGTTTCAAGGCGTTTGCTTGATCAGTGTGCGGCGTCCCATTGAAATACATGGGGTGCTCGTACCCAGCGAAACATTTTGCCTCGCAACACTTGCTTCAGGTGAAATGCTGGATCAGTGTGCGGCCGGCCTCACATAAATTATTTTTAATTGTATTACAGTAGTTATTTACCAGGGTTTAGCATTGCTTGAGAACTGTTCTTGCACATTACTTCAGGCTAGACCTATAGGGTAGCAGCATTATTACAAAGATAAAATCCATTGTTGATTGGTGGGATTTGAACCTGGGACCTCTGGGAGTGAAGCTCTACCACTAGACCAGCCCCCTCCCCTGTATTACAGTATAACTTAAATACTAATACTGAAGCTGATTTTTTTGTCCAGTTTGCTGAGTAGAAATACAACGGTATAGGTTCCTGAATAATTAAAATAGACTATATGGAGTTTCAAGCTAAAACTAAGTGATCGCTATACTGTTATTGTAAGCGTCACACAATTCATTAGGCCTATTCTCAATTATATGTGTGACCAATATGATTTGTATTAAATCAAAAAAATAGAAATTAGCTAAGTCTGCTGGTTTGCTGCAGCAAAGGTAACTAAGTAGACTGATACTCCACAATGAACGATTTATATCATTTGCAGACTTTTAGCTGGAATAAGGATGTACAGGTTTTGGATCAATAATCATCCAAGCGACTATGAGGACTGACAAAGAGTATCTTGTGACAAAGTGGCCACATCAGCAAACATAAGCAGGGTCTGAATAAAACATACTCTGTGACCGGTCACAAAGACGTCGTCAATCTCCATATTCAGTGGCTACGAGGGTCACGAGTTCAGAAAACGCTTTCACATTGCTTTAAGTTGGCCTGATTGTAAAGCTAATAAATATTAAGATTTGTTGCGATCTGGTTTAGGTAGCAGAGTGAATACTGCTCATCTCACGTGATGAGAGGGTTATCAGTTCAACCCTGGATTCGAAATCAGTTTCAGGTCTCTTTGGTTAATGGGTTTTTGACAATGGTCCTGAATAAAGAACGGTTTGAATAATGTCGGTTTTTAAAAAGCATGTCTAATTGTAGCATTTAACAAACCTATGATGTAGAAAAATATTGTGTTGTAAGAGTCATACGGATGTGATATTGGTAAATTGGTCAAAAATGAACGTTACACTTATTATTCATAATGTATAGGCCTACCGTATGTGAATTAGTTTGCTAAAACTATATTAGGGCTACTTGTTCTAATTATCATTGATTGCCTTACACTTTATTGTAATTTTAGTGAAATACTAAGGAAAAAATAGAACAAAAAAGTATTTTAAATAGGCTACTGGTATTTTTAACAGTAGCTGTCAATTATTTACTCCCAATTTAGGCTTTCTTTACAACTAAATATTTATCAGGTTGAAACCAGTTCAAATACAAGAAAATCCCTGCATACAACCTTTTCAAGTGTCCAGTGTTGTAACTGTGGCAAGGTGCCTTAATAATAATAGGCTAAAATTTAAAGACTAGAAACATTTATATTTTTGTTACAATAGCCTATAATATTAAATCCTTTAAATTCCTTAATCTACCTTAATAGTAGATTTAGAGTTTTACTCATAATTAAATAGAAGTGGGCCAACCCTCTATATATAATTTTTTTTTTTAAATCAACACATTTAAAATAGATTTTAACATTTTAAAAACCCCTAAGAGATATTATTTGTGAAAACCAATGAAAATAACAAGATCGTAAACTTCAGAGTACAATTACAGTATGGTATGTAAACTATTAGATCATGTGGTGAAAACATTGGCCAGATTGATATCAACAAGCTATCGGCAGCTGCTAAGGTCATCTGATTGTTGATAAGCAGTTACTAGCTGGAATGTGTAAATGATAGCATCAACAGAACTGATTGTGCCAACTGAAATGTGATAACACAATCTCGCAGCCAGATAATATTTATATCTGGTAGCATATCACGCATCTAATTATTACTGTAATATCCTTTTAATTATAAGATAAAGAAGGTCAGACAAAATAAAATACTAAGGAAGCTATGCCTATTATAATTTTTAATCAAGTGATATGAATTAAAACTTCAGGGGTCAACTAAGATTGAAAATTAACTTATGTAAATAGCCCCTACAATACCAGAGCTAATTTTATCTTTGATATTTGATATCCAAAATATGTTTTTTATAGTGAGTGGCTCATTTTGTAAATTCTTAAATGACACTTTAATCTGACAAACTATAGACCTTAGTAGGCCTAATACATTTTCAGTACCGGTAACAACACAATTGCAAATAAAATTTCTTATTCCAAAATTAAAGATGGGATTTTTTCCATAAATTGGTATCATATGCTACTATTTTACAAAAAAAACTCAACCTCAAACACTTGTTTAAATACCAACTCTACAATATTATCCATTTATTTCATAATAAGTTTGTAGCTTAGGTAAGTTAACTGTTATGAGGATTGCAAGAAATATGAGGTAGTTTTGACATTATACCTAGAATTTAATTTAGGTACTGTAACTTACAATGAATGAATGAATTATATTTATTGGCATATATTTGCACATAGTTTACAAGATGTAGGTAGGTCTAGCCTAAAGGTGATTGTCAATTAATAAAATCGTCCATAGATCAGTTTCCCCCCCCCCCTCTTAGGTTTTAAATTCATAACAAAAAAGACCCACTTTACACTAATAAAATTCAACATAAAAATATAGGCTAACAGAGAAAAAATATGGTCTTCTTTAAAATCATGTACCTAGCCTAATCCAAATTGGTGGTAAATTTTTACTTTACCTGTTACAACATTAACATCGTCAGAATAACTAAAACATACTTTTGTATTAAGTATTAATAGATGTAAGGTCACACAAAAAACAAAAAAAGTGATAATTAAAATCACAAACATTAACTTAACTTAAATATTTATAGGTAACAAATAAACTAGGCTATCATACAACAGGGACAGCCCCAATGAAAGATAAACGATAACAGCATTTAAGACGATTCCTTACTTAAGTTTGCCTAAGTTAGTTGATATTAACAGGTCTAATGTAGGTTAACAACTTACATAGGCTACCGCTAAGGCCAATCACAAAACCTAAAATGTTTTGAGAAATTGTATCGCTCAAAGATTTTTAACTTACAACCTGGTTGGTGCATTGTATCTAATGTAAACCCCCCAGCCTTGACCCCTAAGTTTAAACTCTTTTCACTCGTAAAAGTAAAATGCAAACTCACCTAAAACGATCTAAAAGACGTTTTGAAACTGTTCTTTGACACTAATACTACTACTTTCTTAAATTAATTTTTTGTCATCGAGGATTCCTTTGATTACTACAATCGAATATATATCAGCAATAACCCCTAAACTTACCATCTAGGGAACTGGTGGGGGGAAAAACTCGCTTAACACGTTCGCTACTGAGCGTCGCATATATGCGATGCCGCGGTCATCGCCACAAACCGAGGTATACATTTGAATCTTACACATAGACCGGTTGTCACTTGGATAACAGTACATACACAGACCACGGGCGAAAACCCGTAAAACAGTGATCATTTACACCGTAATACGCTACAATCGTTTTTGTAAATAATTTCCTCTATTCTTGTTTTTTTTTTATGGGTAACCTTTTGTAATGTCGCATATTTGCGACGCCCGGTCTACAGCGAAGACAAAAGTGAAAACTATCATAGTTTTCTTGAAATAAACCAAACGTCGCTACCTATATGCGACGGTTAATTTTTGTGTGTTTTGAGGTGAAAGTAAGTAAATAAAACAGATTATTCAAGAACAGTTTATAAAAGCTACATAGGATAATGCAGCATAAATACTGCATACAAACATACAGTAATGCAGAAAAGTAAAGACCAGTTTTTCTAACTATCATATGACGTCACCAATCATCATATCCACAGACCAAGCGTCGCAGTTGTGCGTCAGACATCTCTGTAGACCACTGCAGGGAATTCAGTGCCTTCAAATAGACCGTTACAAAGATATAAGCATTTTAATAACATTAGAACCCTGGCGCAAATACGTGACGGCAGTTTATTTTAATGTGACTAGCCGTAGTATATATGCGACGGCAGTCTATGGGTGGAAACCGGCCGTCGCATATGTGCGTCGCTGGTCCATGTGAATGAAAAATTTCGTACTATTGCAGTAGCAAACGTGTTAAACATCATAACAAGGCTGGTTCCTTTACTAGACACCACACCAAGATTACTAGACACCACCTATGCCTACATTAGGCCTACCGGTCAACACACTGATTTTAAGTTAATTGTGTTAACAAATGTTATTTTGGGGTTTTGTAGACTCCAGTCACTTTTAAGGATTTAATGGCTTTTCCGCCCCTAAGTTTATTACAAAACCTGTTTTTATACACTTTTAACACAATTCTTACACACTTCAGGAAGTGCGTAGGCCTGTAGAGTGAGTTGGTAAGTTAGTCGGAAATGTTTACTGAGGGTTATAATATCTCAAATTGGAACCAATTTTTATGTTTGGAATATTCCAAAGAGCAATTGGATGTTAGCTTCAGTGACAACCTAAAGTAGGACTAACTTAATCCATGAGTTAGGGCCTAGTTTGGTTTGGTAGGGATTTAAGTAGCCTGAAGAACCAAGGAGGTATGAATTATGAATAAGATTAATAATACCGTTTAGTGTTAGAACTGTGATAAATAAATACTACACACCATCTGTAATTCTGGCATTACCTGCAAAAGTATCTGGTTCGAGACCAGAACTGTAGTCAAGACCACATATTACAAAGTAATCTGCAAATCTGTTTTTAGAGTTACAATTGGAAACTTTGTTGGATTCCATGCTCGGTAAGATCACACGAAAAATATCACGCACCACTAACACCTGCCATTTTGAACTGCTTCCACAAACAAAACGCAATCAAAATCCTCACTCAACTCTCGTATTTCTACACTTTTTGACAGGACAGCGAAAGCTGAGGATCAGCTAGAAACTTCAATGAAAAAACTTCCTTTTTGACATTTCACTTCTTCTTGTTCTCACTCCATCCTGCTAAACTAAACAGCTGATCAATAATAAACGCAGAAAGAATTTGTCACTGCCTTGGAAATACACAAATTATTCTATCTACTCTAAAAACCTCCATAGCAGTACAAGTTGGTACAAGACAAAGCCGTTTTCAAACTAATACTTTCAGCATAGATTAAACTTACAAAATCCCATACAAAATTGCATAAAAATAAACAATGGAACCTATTGTAACTACAATCATCGATTGAACTATGATTAAACCAACAGAGTATAGTCTGTGCTCTAATATAAACATAAAAATTAATGAAGCTGGACGAAGTTAGGAATGCGACATAGTGTGGGAAAATGGGATAAGAGACTCCGTACTTCGTAGCAGCCACAATGCGTTTTCATCCGATCGGCCAGTCGGCGCTGCATGCACTGCTGCAGTGCTGCACTTCTTGCAATGAAGCGCAAAGTAATAAGACGAGCAGAGAGGAGGAGAGAGCTCATCTAGTGGCTAGTGGTAGAGCATGGGGCTTCGGATTCCGAGGTCCTAGGTTCAAATCTCCAATCACCAATGGATTTTATTTTTTTATCTGGGCTAGAGCCTAGCCTCCTTGGATGTGAAAGGTGGGACATAAAAAAAGGCAAGGAGGGAACAGGCGTTCTATTATCGTAACTACTGTATATAATATGAAAACATGCTTAAAACCATTATACAGTACTCCATTCATTACTTTACAAAATACTCTTCAGAAATACAATTAATTTACCCTTTATATGTTCAAGCTAAATTTTATTTTTGGTTTTAGTGAATTTCTCGTACTGAGAATAAGCTACTAGCGTAGGTCTCATCGTAAGACCTGGACCTAAGACAGGTTTTCTTATTTCTTTTTCGTTTTGAGGTCCCCATGCTAATATATAAGTAAAGTAAACCAAACTCTCACAACCCATTCATCCATTCATGAATGGGAATGGGACCGAACCTTCTTGGGGTCGTATCAGGGACATATTTAACTATCTGCCACATCCAGGCAGGTAATATAACCATAGACTAACCAACACAAGTAGACTTCTCATCCCATTGTAAATTTTGAAGCACGTTTTTCGTGTCTAGTTCATGTACGTGACACAAAGGCGCTAGTGTTGATGAAACTTTGTTTCAACTATTTTAGGGTCAATTTCTTGATTTCTGCTTTACTGTTTGGTTATATAACTAGGGGACAAGTTATTGTTTATGATTAGATCGTATTATTTGGTTAAACGATGTTTTAAATGGCTGAATAACGGGAAACAAATTGTAAACAAAACACGACCTCTACATAAACCTTACATGAACTAACAATAAAATTGTCTTCAGCTGTTCCATAAGGATGAGAAATCTACCAAGGGAGTATGTTTTATCTATGATATAACTTAGCCACCCCCTCGGGCACCTTCGTCAGTGTGCTCACTGACCAAAATAAAATTACCCCAATACATGCTCTGCCAGCTGTTTTTGTTGAAAAGTAATCGGCAATTGAGTGAAAATTTAAAAACGTACGTTTTCAGGAAAAGCACTTTGCAAATTGTTTCCCCTTTTTTCAAAACTTATATTATTATTTTTATTTCATTAACATTTGAAGTTTCATAAAATGTCCATGGTAACGCAATATCTTTGGTATTTTTTTTAAAAAAAGAGCATCTTTAGTGGAAAAACACAAAATCCTGTCATGACCATAACAGACGTTTAAATGAATATTAAAAATAGTTAATATTATTTTTATAACTATGTTTTGTTATAAACTAATTTACTTTAATGACCATTATACAATAAAAAGGTCACTGAGCTTTTGGTATATTTGGTCTTTCTAAAAAAAAATAAAATACCCCCGCCGCAGCAAACCTGCCGTCTAAGCGAATTTCCATTTGGCCGAATTGATTTTCAATTGATCTATTGATATGGATACAGTACAGCTGATGTGGCTAACTTAAAAGTTGTTTTGAGATTTTGTTCCTACATTTTTAATGAATTTGAGATATTTTCAGAGAGTTTTGGTGATTTTGAGTGTAATTTCAGTTAAATTAGTGAGTTTGTGACGTCCGGATGTATAAATCTTTTTAAGTGAATTCAAACCAAGTTCATAGTTTTAAGTTGAAGTTTGTGTTTAATTTGGGGTTAGGAAATCAAAATTAAAATATCTGTAATCTTTTGGTTACTAGGCAACATGAAAATAATGCATTCAAAAATTTCTTTTGGTTCTCTCATAAGAACAATACTGATTATAGTGCTGGTAAAAATATTGGTTTCAATCTGTAGACAAGAAACCATACATATTTCTCTTAAAAATATTCATCCTGAAATTAACATGAGATGTATATACTTCCAAATTTCAAATGATTTTTCATTTAAAAACAAAATGTTAGATAGAACAAAGAACAGAAAAAATAAATCTAAATGGAAAGTTATTTGGCGATCACTTAACCTAAAGCTGTATGTATCTTACTTCTTTTTGATTAATTTGATTCTTTTATGTGGAGACATAGAAGAAAACCCTGGGCCTGAAAATAGCAATGATGTATCAAAAGAAGAGTGTCCGTTTTGTAAAAAACATTTTTACAGACTTAAGTCTCATATCAAGGCAACTCACGACAATTATTATATAACAGAATCAGATAATTTAAGAAAAAGTAGAACCAGAACCTGTAGTTATAGTTCCACAAAATTGTGGTATGAACTTAGAGACTTAGAACGAGATAGACCTTTGGGCATCAAATTGTTTGCAGCTACCCCTAAATTGTGTATTTATTCCTCCAGCTGTAGTACATTTGCTGCGTGTGGGAAGCGAAAGTTTTGTCCTTAAAACAATCAAAGATGAAATGAAATTGTCAAAAAGTGAATTTATTTTCTTAATAATAAATAATAAAACTAATGAGGAAAAGGAGAATGCTTGTCATTGGTCTCTGTTGATCTGTGACGTATATAAAAACAAAACATATCATTTTGACTCAAAATCTCCATCCAACAGTCAGATTGCCAAGAAAATGACCGAAAGACTGAGTAAATGCAGCTTGGGAACTGATGAGATTAATATGTTAGAAGTAGATTGTCTTCAACAACGTGGAAGAGTTGAGTGTGGTGTGTACTGCCTACATTTTGCAAAAATTGTTTGTAACAGAATAATAAACAATAACTTAACCATATCGGACAAGATGTATAAACAGGATTTTCTTGTAGGTAATATCTATAATGAAATTGAATGTCTAAAAAAACAGAGTTTAAATGTCCCTAATAATAAATGTCAAGCAACTAAGATTAGAAATAAATCGTTGGAAGGCATAAAGCAAACCTCAGCTGAAGATCATAAATTTCAAAAAAGTGAGGAATGTAACAGTAAAGTAGATCAATCAAATGATCAAACTTGTGGCGAATGCGGAAAACTCTTTAAAAGCAAAAAAGGATTATCTCTCCATATTTCAAAGAGCCACCACAATAAACATCGTGATATAATTCTAAACAAGTATTGTCCAGAAAGCTCAAAAACACAGTCTCCAGACAAATTGGATGATAAAACAAACAATATGTCAAGCAAAGTAAATAGCGAAAGTGATCGCATAAACAAGGATCTCGATTCTTGGTTAACAGTCTTCAATGAAGAACAAACACACTTTGAGTTATTCTCTGAAAATTTTGATAAGTTTTCCAAGTTTTTATCTCACGCTTTACACAATCTTCCTGGGCCTAAACATCCTTCTTACAGGTTTTATAAATTAAGGAAAAAGAAACAAGACTATCCTCAAAATAGTAATTATAAGAAATCATCCAACCCAGAAAGGAAAACTAAAAACGAAAGGAAAAAGAGAAAAGAAAAGTATGAATATGATCTGATCCAATTTGAATACTATAATAGGCGTAGGAAAGCTGTGAGAAGGATAATCGGAGACGGTAATAAAGGATGTGAAATTGATCTAAACACATTACACGAAGGTTTTACCACACGTTTCTCCAATCCAAATGAAAATATGAAAATGTCATATAACAATGTGGAAGACACAATAGTGAAAGACTTAGATTCGCATTATAATCAAAAAATTACTGTAGAAGAAGTCGTGAAAGCAATAAATGCAATAAAAATTGACACTTCTCCGGGACCTGACAATATATTAATGAGAATTGTAAAACTTAAGAAAGTAGCAAAGATCCTCTGTTCAATTTATAACACAATACACCTTACAAACCAGATACCTTCATCATTTCAAAGAGCACGAACTATTTTAATTGATAAAGGTGGAGACAAAAAAGAGGTTAATAACTGGAGACCAATCACAATATGTTCTGTTTTAAGGAGGATATTAGAAGAAATATTGGACAAAAGACTAAAAGAATATATCAAATTTAACCAGTTTCAAGGAGGTTTTTCTAATACCCCTGGTTCCCATCTTAATACAAGTATTCTAAATGAGGTATTGAGATCAGCAAAATCAAAGAAAACCGACTGCTGTATTATGTTTCTGGATATTGAGAAAGCGTACGACAATATCGGCCATAACCACTTATCCTCAGTCTTGCAGGAGCTACCTATTCCTAGGAAACTGATTGAAATAATAATTAAACTCCAAATAGGCAATGTTACAAAAGTTGAAACTCATAGAGGGAAAACAAAGGACATCAAAATACAAAGGGGTGTAATGCAGGGATCTCCATTGTCACCCACTTTGTATAACCTATGTATTGACCATATCCTCTCTGAAATGTCACAACATGCCGTAAGTGAGGAGCTAGGGTATAAGCTATGCAAGGACATGCCTTCTCTAAGTATTCTAGGATTCGCTGACAATACCATTTTAATTGGTAAGAATAGAGAAAGTGCTCTTGTATTATTCGATTCGATTTGTGACTTCTTCAGAGAAATTGGATTAACTATAAATATATCAAAAACTAAAATTATTAACATTGAAAAAGGTAGATTACAAGAGGAAAACTTCCAAATATGTTCAAAAGAAATAAAATCTATAACATTTAATGAAAAAATT